TATTTTTATTTACACTTGATTTTTAATAATACTTACTACCTTCGTCCGGTTCTAAGGGGTTGCATTTACTTTTTGCGTGTTAATCTTTGAATATTAATTATTATATTAAAATGTAGTACAAATTAAGAAAAAATTGCAAAAATACTTTTATTAGTGTCTTATAATACTTATAGAATGATATTTCTATAAAAATCATGCAGATATAAAAATATTTTAAATTTTAAATACAATAATACAAAAGGTAAATGTGATTTTTAGAAGCGGACGAAAAATAAAGTATTTTTATTTCTAAAATCACCATATAATGTAATGAATATTGTATATACTTGTATTATTTTAATATAAAATATTATTTTTATATTATCAATACAAACTTTGATATCTAACGTTAAAAAAAAAAAATCATTAAAGAATATAGAATGAAAAAACTTAAATATGATAACCCATCTGTCCCACATAATTTGTCCATATTTTCTATTTTTATTCGTTCCACATAATTTGTCCTTTTTATTTTTGGAAATATAATTATGCACTTTAATCGCATTTTAATATTTTATAATTTTCTTAATTTTAATTAAACTATTTACTTATCTTAATCTTAATCTATAATTATTTTTACTAAATAATAATTATTTTTACTAATACATTTCTTAATTACTTATTAATTATACTTTACCTAAATTCTTGTTCTTGTGTTTACAGTAATACACTCATATTACATGTGACGAATGAAGTAGTTTTCTTTTGAATTTCTTTTACCAAAAAAAAGAAAAAGGATAAATAAGTTTAGTAATATTATATTAACCCAAGTGTCAATATTTTTATTACTTCTATTTTTATATGATTGTTTTAATATTATAATTTAATAATTATTTTATTTTTAAATTTTATTTAATACTATATTTTGTAAAATATATTTATAAGGGTATTCTTATTATAAATAAAAATAATCATAAAAAATTAGGCTCGTATAAACTTTTGAAAAAGTTTGCAGTTTTTATTAACAATAAATACAAAATAATATTATTCTAAATAACTATTGCCTCTTATAAAATATTTTATCAAAATTTAATTTTTTTGTTATCATTTTTTTTAAACATTAAAATTCAAAAAGCATGTTCACCGAATAATAATTAATAAAAATTATATATATATATATATATACTTGTCAATTAATATACAAAGAACATTAGGTGTTTCGTTTAAAGGATTTTTACTAATTTTTATTATTTATAAAAAAAAATTTTCTTTAAAAATATTAAATCAAAATTTTTTTTTCTACTTTATTCTTTTCACATTTTTTATTTAAATACATAATTTATTATTTTAAAATATATATATAATTATACATTTTATAAATTTTATAATTTATAATTTTTTAAATTTTAATGAAATTATTTAATTATCTCAATATATAATAATTTTTATTATATAGTAATTATTTTTATTAGTATATTTTTTAATTACTTGCTAATTATATTTTACCTAAATTTTCGTATCTACCGTGAACAATTTATCCGATACAGAGGGAAGTTAGTATTATACTAAAAAATTAATTTTATATTCAAAATATTACATCAACACTTATTTATATTACATTATACAACCATTCAAATTCAAATTTTTTTTATTGTTCAAATCATAACCTAAAATCCAAACCCAAACAAACAAACCCTATACATACATACTTATACAAAATTACGAAATAGTATACTCCCTCTCTCCCAGTGCAAGGTTGTCGTTTATTTTTTGTACGTGATATTTTAATATTAATATTATAATAAGTTGTTGTGAAAAAAGACAAAAATATCTCTATTAGTATTGTGTAATATAAAAGTACATTTGTGTAATACAGTGTAAGTTGAAAGGATATTTATTATGTTAGATAGGCAGATAAATTACTAAGACAATCTTATTTTTAAACGAACGAAAATAAAAAATGATAATATTCCACTGGGAATGATATTTTTCATATTTAAGTAAACTTTTGAGATTAATAATATTTAAAAAAATAAAAAATTATTGCTATAGGTTGGAGGAGGGGGGCGGTAGTGGGGATGGTTGTTGACCTGACCAAGGGTCTACACCCAGTGACGTGGCACTTTGACTTTGTCAAAGTCTTCCTTCTCTTGTAATTGACTGACTTCATGCTTATCATCTCATGATATCATTGTGGGGGTTTAAATATTTTATTTATTTATATTTTTATTATAGACCTATTTCCTTTGATAAAAAAATTCCAGAGTGTTTGAAAAATAATTTTTTAAGAATTTATTTATTTTTTTGAAAAAGTTTTTAGTTATTTGATAGTGATTTAAATATTTGATGAATTAATTTTTTTAAAATAATTTATAAATTTTACAAAAGTCGTGTGTTCTTTCACACTCCTTCAAACATTAATTTTTTTTCAAAAAAATAAATTAATATATTAAACACATTTATTATTTTTATATTATTTATACATAAAAAAATATTTAAATTTTTTAAATTTCAGATATAAAATATGAAGTAATGGAGGGTTTCTTCGTATTTTGAAATGAAATATTTATTTATAAATATTACAAAAATTATATATTTCCTCCGTCCACTGAAATAGTTTATTTGGGTCCGACCTGAAGTTTAAAAAAAAATATTTTATTGAAAAGGTGATATATAATTGAGATTTTTTAAAATTTAGTTAAAAATAAAAGTAAATGAAAATATAATATAATAAAATTAGTGATATTTATTATAAATAAGCATTGAATGAATAATATTAATTAAATGTTGATTTTGTCTAACTTAGTAATATGATAACTTTAAGAGATCGACTAAAAATAAAAATAATAATAAATTTGGCAGACGGATGAAAGTAATATATATATACCATATATAATATATGCATTTGATTTATTTACAAAAGTAAATAATTCAACATAAATATTATTTTTTATAATATTTATATAATTTTTCATATTTACTTAAAATACACTTTCATCTAAAAATATAAAATAATAAAACTTTCATATTAAATATATATTTTTTATTTTATTTTATTTATATTTTAAATTTTTCCATAATCTCAAAGTTCCTATTTAAATAAGCATTAATATTGCAACTACAATGGTATATAGTGGAATGGTTGGGACCATAGCCCAACTATTTTATAATAAAGCATAAAGCCAAATCTAAGGATAAATTAAAGGGTTGTTTGGATTGATTTTTAAAACAACAAAAACTAAAAGTATAAATATATATAAATATAAATAATTTTTTTAAAAAAAACTAAAAGTATAAATATAAATATAATTTTTTAAAAAAAATAAAAAAAATAATAATAATTTGATCTTGTATTTGGATGTTTTGTTATGTAATAAAGTTAAAAATATTTTTCAACCGTAAAAAAAAAAGATTGTTATTATTATGATTATATATACCGAATACACATTAAGTATAAATCAATAACATAGCGTATAAATTTAATATAATATAAATATATTTACAATTTCCATCATCAAAATTTATGCATATTTGATTGAATATGAATTTTTAAAAAAGTGAGTAAAATATATAAATTTTTATAATAAAAAAATAGAAAAAATAATATAATTTTTTACAAAAATAAAATGAGAAAATTGTTTTGATGACAACAAAAATATATAAATTTAGAACATATAAATTTAAATGACGGAAAAATTACTCTTTAGCTTAATATAAAAAATAAATCTTCATTTTTGTCATTATTTTGTTAATTAATAATTTTAAATATTATTTTTAATGAATTTAGCTAGGCTAAGCATAGTTCATCTTTTATGGGTCATGGAACGGCTCCGGCTCAATTCATTGGCGTGCCGTCAACCATATATGACCTGAAAAATTACGAATATATTTTTAGAGACTTACGCATAGCTTTTTCGTATCGGATTAAAATCAAATTTTCGGACCGTACCTGTATTTTTTGCTAGCTCTAGTTGCGAGTGCGTGGGGTAGAAAGAAAATTAATATATATATTGACTTTGATTGTGTTTTTTTAGTATTTAATACTACTTCAGTCCCTTAACAATCTATCCATTTTTTTTTTTTATTTTGGTATGTTTCATAACAAATTATTCATTTCATTTTTTAGTAATTGTATCATCTACCTAACATTACGAATACCCTTTCAATTTACAATATATTATACAAATGTTATTACATTTATATCATACGATACTAATAGGGTTAATTTAGTCTTTTTTACCTTTATTTCAATTTTATTCCAATATAATACTAATATTTCTAAAACTCTGTACAAAAAGTCAATGGATGTATAGATATGAGACAGCGGGAGTATGATTTTTTAAAATTTTATTATTAGTTATTTGTAACTATAAATATGTTATTGATATATTTATTTTTAAATTTTTTTATAAAAAAGAATATATTTTGATTAGAAATTACCGATTTAAAAATAGTATTTTTTTTCATATAAAATGTCACACTTTCTATTTTTGTCTATCTAACACATTATGTTACTTTATTTTTTTGAAAAAACATTATAGGAGTAGATTTTAATCATATTTTAAAATTTATAATTTTAAATTGTAAATTTTCTAATTTTTATTAGATTAATTAATATCTTAACTTTGATCAATAATTATTTATATTATATTGTAATTTATTTTATTTTATATTTTAAATTATTTATTTACCTTACATATGTTAAATTAATACTGACACAGTATTAATTGAAAGCAAATACTACACTTCAAAAGAAAAAATGATTATGAAGAAAGAAACAATTGTATGGGCAGTATTCTATTGACCAAACTGGTCAGGCTCGGCCCATACTAGTCAGGCCCAATATAGTCAGCCTATTTAAAACGACTTTACTTAATGGGCCGGGCTTAATGTATAGCTAATTCAAAAATGATATTTGGGCCCAATTATTACATCAGCCCAAAACTTATTTTACTTTCTCTACAATAAAATTCTGAACCAAAATAAATATATAAATTAAAATCCTACGTAGGGTTGTCGAATGGCGATTGGTATGCTGTTTTGAACCGACTTTCCCTAAGCCCAACATCAAATAGAGAGATACAGCTATGGTGGGCGTTCGATTCTGATATCATTTGGGCGCGCGTGGAACGCACTTCACTCTCCCAATCCTTTCGATTCGGCGCAAACTACCGCGATTCAGGTCAGTTGATGTTTTCTTCGAAACTAATTGCATCAAAAATTCAAAATACCTAGGTTTAGGGTTGGATCGATTATGTTTTCTTACTTTACTGCTTCAATCGGTACTTTTCTAGGGTTCCTGGATTGTGTTGATTATTTTCCCTAATTTTTCTTTGAATCGTTCGGTACTTTGTTAGGGTTTCTGTATTGTTTCGACGGTTTTGTAAATTTTAATTTTCTACGCGCTTAAGGGTCTTTCCTTTGTTGTAGATCTCGAAACGCCCATGGATTAGCTTCGAGGGTTTGAGTATCTTTGAAATCTAATTTTTATCGTTTTAAGTTTCATTTCTCCATGGTTTGGTGTTAATTGATTTTCTTATTCAAAGGTTGCTCGATTTATAGCACTTAGGGTTTGAATTTGTTCAAAGCTTATCTATCCATAACTGATTTTGTGTATTGGCTACAGGCGACTGAATCTAGGGTTTGGTTTTTAGTTCTAGCTTAGCAGGAAAAGGTTGGAGGTATAAAAAATGGATGTCGATGCAGAGATTCAGAAGGTCAAAGAAGAGAGGCAGAAAATGGAGAAGGATCTGGCTGCACTCACCTCTCTAACGTTTGACACCGATCTTTACAGTTCAAGCAAGTTCGAAGGTTATGAGAAATCGATCCCTGTTAACGAGGAGGAGGATAATATGGATGCAGCGGAGAATGAAATTGCTCGAAAAATGGCTTCCTTCACTGCCCCAAAACAGTTTTTCAAGGAGCCTCTGAGAGCCGGCGAGGATGATGATACATCGGGGTTTAAGCAGCCGAGCAAGATTATTGATAGAGAAGACGACTACAGGAGGAGGAGATTAAACAGGATAATATCTCCAGAAAGGAATGATCCGTTTTTGGACAAGACTCCCGGCCCTGAGGTGAGGACTTATGCCGATGTTATGCGAGAAGAAGCTCTGAAAAGGAAGGAGGATGAGGTGAAGAGGGAAATCGCGAAAAGGAAGAAGGAAGAAGAGGAGGCGGTGAAGGAGAATAAAGATGTCGAAAAGCCGAAAAAGAGGAACAGATGGGATGTTTCACAGGACGAAAGTGGCGCTGGGAAGAAGGCCAAAGCAGGGTCCGATTGGGATATGCCCGATTCGACTCCCGGAATCGGTAGATGGGATGCAACGCCGACTCCCGGGAGACTCGGTGACGCTACCCCTTCACTGTCGAGGAAAAATCGATGGGACGAGACGCCTACGCCGGGGCGGGTGAATGATTCCGATGCAACTCCTGCCGGAGGGGTCACACCCGGCGCAACCCCCGCCGGAATGGCGTGGGATGCGACGCCGAAGCTTGGCGGGTTAGCGACTCCGACTCCGAAACGGCAGCGGTCGAGGTGGGACGAAACTCCGGCGACTATGGGTAGCGCCACTCCGGGTGCTACCCCTGCTGCGGCGTATACGCCGGGTGTCACTCCTTTTGGCGCTGCGGACGCGGCTACGCCAACGCCGAATGCGATTATGCGTAGCGCCATGACTCCCGAGCAGTACAATCTTCTTCGATGGGAGAAGGATATCGAGGAACGGAATCGGCCGTTAACCGACGAGGAGCTCGACGCAATGTTCCCGGAAGAAGGGTATAAGATTTTGGAACCCCCCGCGTCGTACGTACCGATTAGGACTCCTGCTCGGAAGCTTCTTGCGACGCCAACTCCGATGGCGACGCCGCTGTACAACATTCCGGAAGAAAACCGAGGGCAGCAGTTCGATGTGCCGAAAGAGCTGCCGGGCGGGTTACCATTTATGAAGCCCGAGGATTATCAGTATTTCGGATCGCTTTTGAACGAAGAAAACGAAGAGGAGTTGTCTCCGGATGAGCAGAAAGAACGAAAGATTATGAAACTCTTGCTGAAAGTGAAGAATGGCACTCCCGCACAGAGGAAAACGGCATTGCGACAGTTGACGGACAAGGCGAGGGAATTCGGTGCCGGGCCGTTGTTTAATCGGATTTTGCCGCTGCTTATGCAGCCGACTTTGGAAGATCAAGAACGGCATTTGTTGGTGAAGGTTATTGATCGAGTGCTGTATAAGTTGGACGAGTTGGTTCGTCCGTTTGTCCACAAAATTCTCGTCGTTATCGAGCCTCTACTGATCGACGAGGATTACTACGCACGTGTTGAAGGTCGAGAGATTATTTCGAATCTGAGCAAGGCGGCTGGATTGGCAACTATGATCGCTGCGATGCGTCCGGACATTGACAACATCGACGAGTACGTTCGGAACACTACCGCAAGAGCTTTTAGCGTCGTCGCCTCTGCGCTCGGGATTCCTGCGTTGCTGCCGTTCTTGAAAGCTGTTTGTCAGAGTAAGAAATCGTGGCAGGCTCGGCACACGGGGATTAAGATCGTGCAGCAGATTGCGATTCTGATAGGTTGCGCTGTTCTTCCGCATTTGAGGTCTCTTGTCGAGATTATCGAACACGGTCTGAATGACGAAAACCAGAAGGTTCGAACCATTACGGCGCTGTCGCTTGCCGCTCTTGCTGAGGCTGCAGCTCCGTACGGCATCGAAAGTTTCGACTCGGTGCTGAAGCCTCTCTGGAAAGGTATCAGATCCCACCGTGGGAAGGTCTTGGCGGCGTTTCTGAAGGCGATTGGGTTTATCATACCGCTGATGGATGCGATTTATGCGAGCTATTATACGAAGGAAGTCATGGTTATTCTAATCCGTGAATTTCAATCGCCGGACGAAGAAATGAAGAAGATCGTGCTGAAAGTGGTGAAGCAATGCGTGAGCACTGAAGGCGTGGAACCAGATTATATTCGAAACGATATTCTGCCGGAGTTTTTCCGTAATTTTTGGGTCCGGAGGATGGCGTTGGACAGGCGAAACTACAAGCAGCTCGTCGAAACGACCGTCGAGATCGCCAATAAAGTCGGGGTTGCCGATATTGTCGGTCGAATCGTCGAAGACCTGAAAGACGAGAGCGAGCCGTATCGAAGGATGGTTATGGAGACGATTGAGAAGGTCGTCGCGAATTTAGGGGCTTCTGATATCGACGCTCGATTAGAAGAGCTTTTGATTGACGGGATTCTTTATGCTTTCCAAGAGCAGACGAGCGACGACGCGAATGTTATGCTTAATGGGTTTGGTGCCGTCGTGAATTCGCTCGGCCAGAGAGTGAAGCCGTACCTTCCCCAGATCTGCGGTACGATAAAATGGCGACTAAACAACAAAAGTGCGAAAGTTAGGCAACAGGCGGCGGATCTGATTTCGAGAATCGCGGTTGTTATGAAACAGTGCGGCGAAGAACAATTGATGGGCCATCTCGGCGTCGTGCTGTACGAATATTTGGGCGAGGAATACCCGGAAGTTTTGGGTTCGATTTTGGGTGCTCTGAAAGCGATCGTGAATGTTATCGGTATGACGAAGATGACGCCGCCGATTAAGGATTTGCTGCCTCGTTTGACGCCGATTTTGAAGAATCGACACGAGAAGGTCCAAGAGAATTGTATCGATCTCGTCGGCAGAATCGCGGATCGTGGCGCCGAATTTGTTCCTGCGAGAGAATGGATGCGGATATGTTTCGAGTTACTTGAGATGCTGAAAGCCCACAAGAAGGGCATCCGGAGGGCGACGGTGAACACGTTCGGGTACATCGCGAAGGCCATCGGCCCGCAAGACGTGCTTGCGACGCTCTTGAACAACCTCAAAGTTCAAGAACGACAGAACCGCGTGTGCACGACTGTCGCGATAGCGATCGTCGCGGAAACGTGCTCGCCGTTCACCGTTTTGCCCGCGCTGATGAACGAGTACCGTGTCCCCGAGCTGAACGTCCAGAACGGTGTTCTGAAGTCGCTCTCGTTTTTGTTCGAGTACATCGGCGAGATGGGGAAGGACTACATTTACGCCGTGACCCCGCTGCTCGAGGACGCTCTGATGGACCGGGACCTCGTGCACCGGCAGACGGCGTCGTCCGCGGTCAAGCACATGGCGCTCGGCGTCGCGGGTCTCGGTTGCGAGGATGCGCTGATCCACCTGATGAATTACGTCTGGCCGAACATTTTCGAGACGTCGCCGCACGTTATTAACGCCGTCATGGAAGCGATCGAAGGAATGCGAATCGCGCTGGGTCCGGCTGTGATTTTGAATTATTGTCTTCAGGGTTTGTTCCATCCGGCGAGGAAGGTCCGGGAGGTCTACTGGCGAATTTATAATTCGCTCTACATTGGCGCGCAGGATGCGCTCGTTTCGGCGTATCCGGTCCTCGAGGACGAAGGGAGTAACGTCTACTCGAGGCCTGAATTGCATATGTTCGTCTGATTGTTGCACGACGGATCGAAGGTAGTAATTGGTCTCGAATTGGTATCGTTTTTAGTATCGCTATTTTCGTATTATTACTGCAGAAGACTGATTTTTGCTTACGCTTTTATCGTTTAAAATTCGATTCCGGGTTCTGTCGTCTTATCTCGCTTATTGAAGGTGTTGTAGGTGTCGTTGAATGGTTTGATCGTCGAGTGCGCGGCGGAGGGATGTCGTCGACTTACATTATCGTCGCCGGACATCCTTGTAAGTGCCGTTATTAGTTTTATGGTTTCTTGGATATACTTTGAGTCGGATATTCGTATTGCAATTTTTTTTCTTTTTTTTTATATATACTTTGAGTAGCATAAGTTTCTGTGGACACTGGGATGTTATTTTGGTTAACTTTGTTTGAATGTGCTTTTGTTGTGATACTTCCAACTTGATTGCTTGTTTTGCTTTTGATTGGGTTTGTTACAATGGTATAGTTCACATAGTTTTTTTTTTTTTTTTTTTTTTTTTATGATTTTGCTTTTAGTTTTTGTTGGGATTATTTTATAAATCATGTTATATTTTGAAGGGGAAGTTTTGTAAAAAGAAAATGTTGTGGAAGATTTGATAGCGGCATAAATGAAAAATAATTGCAAAAGATTTGAAATTGGGAGTATTTTTCAATGCATTATTTTGAAAATAATGAAAGATTGAATATATATATATATATATAATGTAATGTAAGGGTGTGTTTGTTTGGGGGATTGGACTTTTTTGTCACTATTCATCCAATTTTTTTTTCCAAAAATATCAAATCAAACACCTATTTTTTATTTTTTATATTATACTAAAAATCAATTTTACATTCAAAATATTACATCAACACATATTTATATCATATCATACAATTATTCAAATTCAAAATTTTTACTGTTCAAATCTCAACTCAAAATCCAAATCTCTAAACAAACACACCCTAAATATATTTTGAAGTGTGTTTGTTTGGAGGTTTGGATTTTGAATTCGGATTTGAATAATAAAAATTTTGAATTTGAATAATTATATGATGTGATATAAATAGGCGTTGATGTGATGTTTTGAATGTAAATTTGATTTTTAGAATAATATAGAAAATAAAAAATAAGTGTTTGATGTGATGTTTTTGGGGGAAATTTTTTGAATGAATAGTGGATTTTTGATAATCCCTCAAACAAACACACCTGCATTTTCTTCAATTTTTTATAAGAACTTATCTTTTGGTAATGCTCTTTCTGTTCCTTTTAACAATTTTTTTATTTTTTTATTTTTGTTTGTCCTATAACAAAGTATCAATTTTATTTATTTTTTTTAGTAATTGTATTATCTATTTAACATTACAAATATTCTTCTAATTTCATTAGATTTATGTCATATAATACTAATAAGGGTAATTTAGTCTTTTTACTTATATTTCTATTACATCTTAATATAATACTAAAATTTTGTGAAAAAGTAAATAGATAGATAGATATAAGACGGAGAGAGTAGCATATAACATTTTTTAAAAAATTTTATAAAATTTTTCAGTGTGTTCTTTTTACAAAAAATAATCAATATATTTTTTCAAAAAAATTAATATATTATACATATTAATATTTTTATATTCTTTTCGTCCCACGTACCATGTTCACGTTGCTATTTTTGTCCGTTTCACATTCCATCTCACTTTCTTTTTAAAAAAAATGATTGTACACTTTAATCTCATTTTAAACTTTTTAATTTATTTTTTTTTAAATTTTAATTAAACTAATTAGTTATCTTAATCTTAATTTATAATTATTTATATTATAAGATAATTATTTTTACTAATACATTCTTAATTATCTACTAATTACACCCCTTCTAAAATACCGTATCTACAGTGTAGCAGACACGGTATCTGTGACGGAGGGAGTATTATCTACATAAGTTTTTTATACTTCATATCATTTTTTTTTTCAAATCAAAACACAAAACAAGCAAACCCTTAATTCTACAATTATAAAAAGTAATATTAATAAAATACTCATTTCGTCCCAATACAATAGTCATATTTATCATTTTTGTTCATCCCAAAATAATAGTTTCGTTTTTATAAATAATCATGTCACTATAAAACTACTCATATTTTTTCATTATTATTACACAATTGTCACTACTTTTTACACTAATACACTCACAAGGGCAAAAAAGTCTTTTATCTGTATTTTTACCTACTATCGATATAATATTAATATTTTTTAAATTTTGTATCAAACACAACTCAGACTATAATTTTGAGACGGCGAGAATATTATATTTTAATTTGTGTCAAAATTTTGAGCACACATATAAGGCAAAATAAGTATTGGGGTCGTTTACTTTGTTTTTTTTTTTTTTAATGAAGGTAAATTTTGATGTTTAGAAATCGTGTTACTATATTTTTATAATATTTATAGGGACTGTGCCAAAAAAAAAAAGAAGTTAGGTGAATAAGCTCATTATATATATATATATATATATTTATAAATAATTACATTAAAATACTATTAAAATAAAAAATTAAATTTCAAATTATAACTGAACAAACTCTAATGCTAAAATGATACTAGTATTTAAACATCGTTTGAATTGACTTTTACAAAGTGTTTTTTACTTTTGTTTCAAAAAAAAATTATTTTTATTTGTATTTGCTTTTGCTTAAAAGCTTTTGGGGTAAAAAAAATATTTTTTTATAAGGGTGTGTTTGTTTCGGGGGTTTGGATTTTGAGTTGGGATTTGAATAGTAAAATATTTGAATTTGAATAGTAGTATGATGTGATATAAATAGGTGTTGATGTGATATTTTAAATATAAAATTGATTTTTAGTATAATATAAAAAATGAAAAATAGGTGTTTGATTTGACGTTTTTTTTTTTGGAATGAAAAATGGGATGAATAGTGGAAATAAAATTCAATCCCCAAACAAACACAGTAAGGGGTGCTTATATTAAATTAAATTAAATTAATTAAAATATAAATTATCTTCAAATTAAAATTTAATTATATAGTATTTTAATTATTAATTGAGATATTAAATTTTAAAATATAAATTTAATTATATAGTATATAATTTAATATTTTTAAATATAATTTATAAATTTTAAACTAATTTGTAGAGTAATGTAAAATTTGATTTATGCATAAATTTAGTAAATATGTTTTCAATTAAGGTAGATAGTGTAGAATTTTTAAATATAATTTATAAAAATTTTAAAATAAATTGGAAAAGTTTAATAAAAGAAATAAATTTATATAAGTGTGTCATGTTTGGTAATTTTATGCACTTTCAATTTTATTATATCCAAACAAATTTTATTTTTTTATAAAAAACTGTTTTTGTAATAATTCATCCAAATATAAAATGGAAAAGCTTTACTTTTGGCTTCTATTTAAATTTTTTCAGTCAAATAGACCCTAAGTGTTTAAAATTTAAAATATTTATAATTTTTTTAAGATATAACATTTTAGATTAAAAATATATATATTAAATACTCTCTCCGTCTAAAAAATATAGTCCTATTGTGTTGAGCACGAAATTTAAGGAATATTGATACTATTTTTGTAGCGGGTAAAATGTAAGGATAAATGACTTTTTTTGCCATTGTGAGTATATTAGTGTAAAAAGTAATGACAATTGTGTAATAATAATGAAAAAATATGAATATTTTTACGGTGATATGATTATTTATAAAAATGAGGCTATTGTTTTAGGACAAACAAAAGTGGTAAATAATACTATTGTATTGGGACGGAAGTAATATATAAATTAAAAAAAATAAAAAATGATTGTAATACTTTATATGAATATAAAATATTCTAGTGTAGATTATAATGTAAAAGTAAGTTTACGTTTAAATATTGATATTACAAGTTTTGGAATTAATTTTCTATCTTCGTCCCAATAAAATTTTGTTTTTTTTTTTATCCATTTAATTTAATGTAATTTGTTTTTTAATTTTTAAAAATATAATTATACATTTTAATTATATTTTAAATTTAATTATTTATAATTTTTAATATTAATTAAATTATTTAGTTATTTAATCTTTTTTATTAATATATTTATTAATTACTTATTAATTATATTTTATCGAAATTTTTGTATTTTCAATAATGTGAACAAAATATTTGAGACAGAAAGAATAGTACTTATGTGATACTTTTTTGAAAATATTATTTTTAATAAATTTTATTAAAACTACTCTCTTCGTCCCACATAATTTGTCCCTATTTTCTATTTTCGTTCGTCCCATATAATTTGTCTTTTCTATTTTTGGAAATATAATTATGTACTTTAATCGCATTTTAAATTTTAAATATTATAATATTTTTAATTTTAATTAAACTATTTATTTATCTTAATTTTAATCTATAATTATTTTTACTAAATAATAATTATTTTTACTAATACACTTCTTAATTATTTACTAGTTATATTTTACCTAAATTCTCGTATCTACACTAATAGTCTCATATTTTATGGGACGGAGGGAGTAAATAAATAGATGTATATCTTTGATTGTGAAAGAATGGGTGTTCATTCATAATGAAGTATTGTTTGTTTACTCAATAATTTTGATTTTGATTTTGATTTTTATTTTTTACAATTATTAATAAAAATAAATATAAAATATATAACTTTTCGTGTGTTTGTTTGGGGATTAGATTTTCAATTCACTATTCATCCCATTTATTTTCTCCCCAAAAATATCAAATCAAACACATATTTTTTATTTTTTTATATTATATTAAAAATCAATTTTACATTCAAAACATCACATCAACACATATTTACATCACATCATACAACTATTCAAATTCAAAATTTTTACTATTCAAATCCCAACTCAAAATCCAATCCCCGAAACAAACACATACAATCTATCTATTTTTTATTTTGGTATGTCCATAACAAAGTATCCATTTCATTTTTTTTTAGTAATTGTACTATATACCTAACATTACAAATATCATTCCAATTTAAAATATATTACACAAATGTCATTACCTTTATAGCATATAATACTAATAGGGTTAGCTTAGTTTTTTTACCTTTATTTCTACTTTATCCCAATATAATTGTAATATTTCTAAAACTTTGTGGAAAAAATAAATGAATATATAAATATTAGATGGAGAAAATATATACAAAATTGTATTGGTAATATAAAAAATTATTGTTATTTTTTGTTAAATTGCATATATTATAATTTTTTAATAATATTTATAGAGAATCGTTCTACTGAAAAATACTAAATTTATATTATCCATATAATTCAAACTTTGACATAAAAAAAAAATATATATATTCATTTGAAAATACATTAACACATAAATGTATGAACTCAAACAACAATGTTAACATATATATATATATAAATAATACTCCCTTTTAACAAGAAGGTTAACATATATATATATAAATAATACCCCTTTTTTCCCAAAGACCGTGCAATATTTTTTTTTCGATATGTCCCAAGCACTTTACAATATTTTTAAAATAGGAAATAATTAATTATACATAATTTCTACCCCACATTTTATCCCTTCACATCATCCAAATTAAAAAATTGTACTATTATTTAATGAAAAAATATAAAAAATAATAATAATAATTATGTATTTGGCGTCGCCCGGACTCGAACCGGAGACCTTCAGTGTGTTAGACTGACGTGATAACCAACTACACCACGACACCTTTGTGTTTGGCTAATTTAAATATATAATATTAATATTTATAATATTTTGTATTCATAAATTGAATTATCTGTATAGAAAATAAAAGCTTACAAGAATAACAACTTTGCTCATCCAAATATTTTTTTGACCAAAATTAATTCTAAAAAAGTATATTAGAAAGTTGATTTTTTTTTGGTTTAGTTAATATGATAATTGTAATAGAGTGATTATTGTTATTTACTTAATATTTTATGAATAAAATAAATATAAATTAATTTTTAATGTAAATATTTTTTATATTTAGACAAAATATTGGTGTAAGTATTTGTAAAAATACTAAAAATTTAAAAAGTATACTAATATAAATTTGAATTATTTGTAATAAATTATTATTGTAATTATATAAAATATAAATAAAAAATTGTACACTTTATTCTTCCAAGACTAATTTTCAATTGTGATTTCAAAAAATAATAATAAACTAACACAAAATATTTTATACAAAACTTAAAAATTCAAAATGAAAAAAAAACTTCAAATAATCATTCAAAAAATAAAAATAAAAATAATCAAACATTCAATTTAAATAATACTCCCTCCGTCCACAGATAAAGTATACATTTACTTTTGACGCGAAGTTTAAGAAATAATGGTATTTTAATTATAATAAGTAGGTAAAAATAGTGTAATGACATTTTTGTCCTTACTTTTTTGTATAAAAATAATGATGTGATGTAAAGTGGGGATATTTGTGGAAAAAAGTGGGGTATTTAATTAAATGGTTACTTTGTAATTGGACGTCCCAAAATAGAAATATGTATACTTTGTAGCTGGACGGAGAGAGTATATTTTATATTTTTAACACAATTCTTCATATCACATGCCAAAAATCAATTCATCTAAAAACGTTTGGTGAACAAATATTTTTTCTTTTTAAATATATTAAATTGAATTTTTAACAAATTTCGAATTTTCGGATCGGATCGGATCGGTATACTTAAAATCCGAACCAATCCGAAATCCGAAATATAATATTTTAATATTTTTTTATTATATATATTTAATATTTTATTAGAAAATATTATATTTTAATATAAAAAAACTCATATTTATTAATTATATTTTAATATATTTAATTTGTATATATTATATATTTAATATTATAAAATAATAATAAATTATAAAAGAATTTAAAAATTTTAAAAAAATTATAAAAATATTTAGAATTTCGGATTTTTCGGTTTGGTTCGGATTACGGATTTTCGGATTTCGAATTTCAGTTATTTCGGTTCGGATTGGTTTTTTCAAAAGTTTCGAATTTTCGGATCGGTTCAGTTTGATTTTTCCAAAAGTTTCGAATTTTCGGATCGATTCGAATTTAGCAAAATTCGAACCGAAAATTCGAATGTTCACCCATACTAAAAATACATGTAAATTGATTAGAATAGATAAAGTATTAATTTTGAATTTTAAAAAAAAAAACAAAATTTAAAAATTAAAATGACCCAATTGGTTAGTAATACACTGTTTAAATAATAATATTTAATTAATTAATAATAATAAGTTATAATACTACTGTTGCCCAACTAAATTATTTCATTTGGTTTAGGCACAGAATTTTATATATTATGTAATTAGAAAGTAATTAAGAAATATATTAATAAAAATAATTATAGATTAACATAACTAAATACTCCTTCCGTCCCGGTGAAAGAGTGACGTTTGCTTTTTGTAGGTACATTTTTTAATATAAATATTATATTGGATTGTAATAAAAAAAAATAAAAATATATGACATTTGTGTAGTATATTGTAAATTGAAAGGGTATTTATTATGTTAGGTAAATAATACAATTAGGAAATGGTAACATTGTTTTTTTTGGACAGACGAAAATGGAAAATGACAATCTTTCAATTGGATGGAGAGAATAATTTAATTAACAAAATATATAAATTATAATTTTTAAAATGTGATTAAATTATATAATTATATTTACAAAAAATAAAAGAGTAAATTATGTGGGACGAACAAAAATACAAAAATAAAACAAATTAAATTGGACGAATGATGTATTATTTATAATATTTTTATGCGAACTAAATTGTTAGTATTTTAAAAATAATAATTGATATATATGTATAAAAGAAATTTAAAATATATATATATAAATATTTAAAAAATTATATTTCAAAGAAAATATATATATATATATAATATAAATATTATTGGTTGACACTAAAATTTTATGTAATATAAGAAATTATATATTTATTTATTTATGATAAATAATTTTGTAAAAGATGAGAAATTAATAAATATAGATAAAAATATTTATTTTATTTTTTTCATTCAAATCTATATTTATTATTATTTTATTTTTTTTGTGATTGTCATAAAAATTTATATTTTTGTTAATTATTTAAAAAATTTGTATCTAATCAAATAGATATAAGTTTCAATGGTGTAAGTAATATTTATTTAAGAGTGAGATAGAAAGAACAAAGTTTTAAGTAAATTATATACTTCCTCCGTCCGGCTATAAATTATATGTATTTCTATTTTAGAACGTTCAATTACAAAATAAATATTTTATTAAATACCTCATTTTTTTTCTTCACAAATACCGTTACTTTACATCATATTATTATTTTTGCACTAAAAAGTAAGGACAAAAATATTATTATATTATTTTTAAATACCTACTATAATTAAAATACTATTATTTATTAAACGTGCCGAAAAAAATAAATATTTATTTTGATGTGGACGAAGAGAGTGTAATATACTATAATGTTATATAGTCCTTTAGACTCAAACTAAGGTTTTTATTTATTATTATTATTTTTTATTTTTATCTATTTCAAAACAAAGTACACAATTTTTTATTAAATTTTAACTCAAAAATCAAAATTCCGAACAAACACACCTTAATAGTGCTCTATTCGTCTCAGATACCGTGTCTGCTATACTGGAGATACGGTATTTTAGGAGGGGTGTAATTAGTAGATAATTAAGAATGTAGTACTCCCTCTGTATACCGTGTCTGCTACATTGTAGACACAATATTTTAAGAGAAATGTAATTAGTAGATAATTAAGAATGTATTAGTGAAAATAATTATTCTATAATATAAATAATTATAAATTAAAATTAATATAATTAATTAGTTTAATTAAAATTAAAAAAAAATAAAATTAAAAAATTTAAAATGAGATTAAAATGTGTAATAATTTTTCAAAAATAAAAAATGACATGTACGTTATACGTATAGAAACTGCAACTATGTGGGACGGAAGAAGTAATAAAAAAGTCTTTGGAAACGGTGAGAGTATAATCAAATCGCCTTTCAAAGTGGGCTCTGACGGGCTAATTTAACAGCGTCAGTCCATTCTGACGGTTCAGTGACCTGTGCAGAGTCAGAGTTAAAAATATATGATTATTTATTCTATTCGGATTTCGGAGGCGCCTTTTCATCTCCGCTCTCTCAAAAGGGCGCACACTCTCTAAAGCTCAAAATCGACGTCTGGAGGTGAGATTTTACGATTTCCGCTCCAATTTGGTTTCGGATTTCTCCGCTTCACCCTGTATTTTGTTTCTAATTCATGTTTGTTTCGTTGTATTTCTCCATTTTGATCCGATCCTAGGGTTTGGTACTGGAATACGTTAGAGGTAAAGATTGCGTTTTATCGTCGATCTTCGAATCGTGTTCACATGTTTTGTTGCTATGCGTGTGAAATCTTTGTGTTTTATGATCTTTTTCTTGCTCATATCTTGTATCAATTTCTAGGGTTTAGGTAGAAATTGCGATTTCCCCCCCTTTTTTTGCAATGGTTGGTTTTTCTCATGTTTATTTCTTTGTGCTTATGCGAATTGCTGCAGGAGCGTGGTTTTTCCTTCATTCGATTCTTACTCGAATGATCGCTTTTAAAAATTGGTGCAATCTGTCCTGAAGTTGTTCTACCATTTCGATTTATTTTGTATAGCGTGTTGGTGAATTATCGTCTGGTATGGAAGCTAGGGTTTCGATGATTATCAAGAACAATCGAATTTAAGTTGATCATCAGTCAATCAAGAAATATCCTTAGATTCAGCAGTGTCTGTTCGTCGATAAATGGATAGAGATTTGGGGTCAGAGCCTACTCCAATCGATAAATCTACTGTGTTGGATGTGAAGCCGTTGCGATTTCTCGTCCCGATTTTTCCGAATGCTGCTTCAGCTTCAACCCCACAGCCTACACCCTTTACATTTACGTTGCCGTCTGGACCCTTTCCACCGGGAGTTCTACCATTTTACCCTTTCCTTGTGCAAGATGGATCGCAGAGATACGCCTCGGGTGCTCAAAATCCGAATGTTGATTTCGGGGTAGGTGGTAGTATCCCTGCTCCGGTTCCTTTGAATTCATTTAAGACCCCATCGACATCTCATCCAAACGGGGGTGTTAATCGGCGCAAGAGGACACACCGGGGTACCGTGGATATTGAAGATGATGACTACAGTTTCTCGCCAAATCAGAGCGGACAGAATGGAAGCGCAAGTGGATTTAGTGCTCCCGGGAATGATTTTGAAATCGGTAGTACCGGGAAACGGAAGGGGGGCCGGCCGAGGAAAATCGTGCCGGAGAATGGGGAGGATACTTTTGACGTAACGCCGATAATGGATAGCTTCTTGGCCGTGTTCAAAATTCACGATTTCGAGGAGTTTAGACGATCTATTGGTGACACAGATGCTGCCCAGACCATACTATTGGTCTACGATTTGATTCGGAGACGGATTTTGCAACTCGAAGAAGCAAAAGGGATATCCTCGGGTGTATCCCGACGCCCCGACTTGAAATCTGGAGCTGCTTTAATGGCGAAAAGGGACCGGACAAATAAAACTCGGCCGATCGGGCGTATACCCGGAATTGAAGTCGGAGATATCTTCTTCTTCAGAATTGAGCTTTGCGTCGTAGGTCTACACGCTCCAAGTATGGCGGGCATCGATTACATGAGTTTTAAAGATACCGGAGATGACGAACCTTTGGCTGTCAGCATAGTATCGTCGGGAGGATACGAAAACGATGGCGACGATGCGGATGTGTTGGTTTACTCGGGGCAGGGCGGAGTACAGAGGAAAGACGGACGAATGTTTGATCAGAAGCTCGAAAGGGGGAATCTTGCTCTTCAAAAAAGTCTAACTCGCGGTAATGACGTACGCGTCATAAGGGGTATAAGGGATAATAACAACTTGGCTGGGAAAATCTACGTTTACGACGGCGAGTACCGAATTCAGGAGTCGTGGGCGGAAAAACATAAACTCGGATGTAACGTTTTCAAGTATAAATTGGTTAGGGTTCCAGGGCAGCCGGAGGCTTTCTCGTTATGGAAACGGATTCAGCAGTGGAGAGACGGAACGGATACCCGCAACGGGGTTATTATTCCGGATCTAACGTCGGGTGCCGAAAGTCAGCCCGTCGTTCTCGTCAACGACGTTGATGACGAAAGAGGACCTGCGTATTTCGCGTACGCTCCTCGACTTAAGTATTCTAAACCTTTTGTCACGTCGAATTTTACGACGGGGTGTCAGTGTCTAGGTGGGTGTCAGCCGGGCGACACCGCCTGCCCTTGCGTTCGGAAAAACGACGGAGCTCTGCCCTACACATCGCTCGGAATAATTCTAACGAACAAATATCCGATACACGAGTGCGGAATGAACTGCGCCTGCCCTCCGGATTGCCGGAACCGTACATCTCAGGCGGGTTTGAAAATTCGATTAGAGGTTTTTAAAACGAAGGACAGAGGTTGGGGCCTCCGATCTTGGGACCCGATTCGAGCGGGAAGTTTTATCTGCGAATATGCCGGGGATGTCGTCGACGTCGTCGATGCCGATGAATATGGGAATGGAAATGACGATAATTATGTATTCGATGCAACCCGTCGCTACAAGCAGCTAGAATCACTCCACGACGATGACTCCGCCGGTGTCGGTAAATCGCCGTTTCCTCTTGTTATAAGTGCTAAAGAGAACGGGAATGTTGCGCGTTTCATGAACCATAGCTGCTCGCCGAATGTCTTCTGGCAACCTGTCGTTTGTGAAAGCAACAATGATTCGTACGTCCACGTCGCTTTCTTTGCCATCCGACATATTCCTCCGATGCAAGAGCTGACGTATGATTATGGGATGGTTGCTCCCGAGAAAGTAGATAAAGGAAAGAAAAATTGCTTATGTGGATCCACAAAATGCCGGGGCTACTTCTACTAACGGCACCGTGCTCGTAATTACTGGATTAAGAAAGGTTAATTATTGTTACTTTTTCCCCTACATCTATATTGTTCGATTTGCTCGTATTGCACTTCATTTGTAGTCGTTAAAAATAATCGTTTGTTTAGACAGGGTTTTAGAGATTTTTGGAAATTTGAAAAAAAAATAGAAAATTAGTATTTGATTTGATATTTTATGAGAAAAAATGTGTATTTGATGTGAATTTTTTGAAAAATGAATAGTGTCAAATAAGTGAAAGTTATGTAAACAAATAGACAAAATTGGCCACAATTTCTCAGTGGTTTCGAAATTCAGTGTAAATCTCCATTATATTTTGAAAATTGCATGACGCTCTTCTTATGTTTTAAAAAATATTGTATGAAACTTCTCGTCATGCAAAAAAAGTGTAGATGATAAATTATCTTCTCATCACAAAATAAATGTGAAAAGAGGTTTTATGCAACGTTTTAGGAGAAGCTATGTATTTTTTAAAGTATAAGGGGATTTATGGTAAGTTTCGAAACTACATGGGATTTATTGATAATTTTGCCAAACAAATATATACTTTTTGTACTTGCTTTCATCTGTCTGTAGGTAAAAGTCGAAATTGTTTGTCGACACACTTAAGTTTATTGAGCAAGATGTTCTCTGTTAATTCTCTTACCATGTTGTTACAGGTGTCGGACAGTGACCAGAATAGAATTTTCCGGTAGCGCAGGATTAAGAACGAACGATCTTTTTGAAGTTAAGAGTCGGGCTATGGATTCGCCACTCTGCTAGTATCGGTAATATGTTTATACATATATATATGTATGTATATTTTAGTACTAGTTACGGATTCGGCGAGGCAGTTTTGTTTTTGGACACCCCACACCCTCCCAACCCTTGGACATAAGTTAGGATGTTCAAAATTGTTTTTTTGACTATTATGTGGTAAGAATCCGAGAATATTTATTTGCCTGGTTCTGTTCGGTGCCTTTTATTTGTCGCAATTTTGCTGTTTATATGCGCAATTTGGCTGTGTTTATATACTATCTCTCGATGTCTGTCGAGACAAGAAATTCGATTTCTTGGGATGTTCTTTTGCCATGTCTTGTTTGAGGAATCGGTTCTTTCAAATTTGGACAAGAAATTTGAATTTCTTGGAATGATCTTCCCATGTGTTGTTCGAGAAATTGTATTTGCTCAAAAGTTTGGAGTAATTAGAATAGGTAAGGATGAAGTTCGTTGCAGTAGCACCTAGTTTAATTAGGTCGGGATCTCTCTAACTGTTAGATTCAGAACAGTAGAATACTAACTAACAATATAGTTAGAGCTGACGATGAGTCGATTCGTATTAACTTGAATACTTTAAACGAGTTAAATTATTCAACCATAACCTGACCCGTTCATTATCGTGTTGGGTTCGGGTTGATTGTGTTAACTCGTATACATAATTAAGTCGAAATTCTTGATTCAAATTAAATTAGTTTTTGTCGTTATGTTAGTTTTTATTGGTTTGAGTCTAAATTAAATTGAATTATTTAAAATTGAACTTGTTTAAATTAATTTATGAGAAAATTATTAAATTATGATTATTTTTTATATATAATAAATATATTAATCAATATTAATATATTATAATCTGGTTATTGTGTCGGGTTAAGGTTGAGACTGGTTCAAGTTGAAAGCCTCAACTTTAATCCGACCCGTTTATTGTCGTGTCGGGTTCGTATATTAATCAATATTAATATATTTTTTGCATGTTGATGTTTGAATATTAATTATTATATCAAAACGCAAGTACAAAGGAAAAAAAAGACAAAAATACTTCTATTACAATGATATTTGTGCAAAAAAAATTATACAAATATAAGAATATTTTTAATATTAAGAACAATGATGCAAACTGTCCTATTTATTCTGTCACTAATTTTTTTGAAAATAATTATATCTTTCTATTTTTGTCTGTCCTATTTATTCGGTCATTTCTTTAAAAGAATTATTAGGTTTTAATTTTATTTTAAATTTTTAAATTTTAATTATATTTATTTTAGTTTTAATTTAAAATTCTTTATAAATTATACATTTCTTAATTCTTTGTATCTACGGTAAAAGGCACATCGTAATCTGAATGGAAGAAGTAATATATTAGGATCATTTTTTATTTTTTTCCCTTATATTATACATAGGGTTTGTTTGCAAATTTTTATCCCTTACATTAAAAAAAAAAAAAAATTTAAATCAAAATAGTAAATAAACAAATTCACAATGTATAACAACAAACAAAAATGGACAAAAGACAAAAATATTTTTCCCCTTGAAGGATTGATATTTGGTTTTTGCACGTAGATTTTTAAATATTAGTATTATATTAAATTGTAGTGTAAAAGACAAAAATACCCTATTAGTATGATATAATATGAAAGTAAGTGAAAGAGTATTTATTATGTTAAGAAAGGTTTAGAAATAAAAACCTTATTCATGATTTACGATGAAATCAAAATAATTTTTTTCCCAAAAATAATTATAAAACATCGTTAAAGGGAACCGGGTTCAGTTTGAATCAAGGCGTAAATGGACCTAGATCAAACGTGTCTGTCCCGGACCGGCCGGCCCGTTGGGTACATTAAACCGATAACGACGTTGTTGTCTCATCAGTCATGCGACTGTAAGTGTTCTTCAAATCCAAAATTGAAATTCATCATCGACGACAAGCATGGCAGTGCGCGCGGATGGCGAAATTCATTGCAGCAATCCAATCATTATTCGTATCCGTAAAAACCGCTTGGATTGTGCAAATCTTCGAAGCTATTTCGAGAGGGTGGGAGAATCGGAGAGCAGGGGTGGGTATGGGGTAGCCAATTTTGCCAAATTAACCCTAGAAAGAGGGGCCGATATTGAGAAACCATATTTACGCATATTACTTCCTGTCCATGACTCAAATTTGTTGGCCCCTTTGACAAAAATCTTGGTATTGTCTCACCCATCATCGGACAGATCACAACAAGGTTGTTTCGAATGCGAAACGGAAAACGCCGATTTCAGGCGAATTGACTGACGGAAGAAACGCCGACGGCGATCGTGAAGTAATCAATTAGTTCTACGATGATGGGTGGGCTTCAAAATCAAGGTTTTGATCCGCCCTCCCAATCCGTCGAATCTTCTAGATCAAAGACGAGGCTTTACAGAGTTTGGAAGGGTCGCAATGCAAGCATTTCTTCCCCTCTTTTTCACCTAATTTTGTTTGTTATGTTTTATCTTCAATTCCGATTATCGAATGTTTATGCTTTCCCCGTTTTATGAAAGTTCTTCAATTTAGGGTTTCTTATCAATTGGATTGTTTCATTTCCCTCTGATTGATCTTCATTTTTGTTTTGCAATTATGGTTTTAGCATTGTGATTATGGTTCATTTAAAGTGAAGAATTCAATAATTTAGCAATTGGAAGTGCATATTATCTTGTGTTTAAAAAAGTTGAATGATCATTTCCATGGTGTTGCTTAATTCTTCAGAAATTTATATGTGGTGGGAGGTTGATCTTTGGTCCCGACGGCGGGTCCGTTGTTTTGTCGACCTTCTTGATAGGGGTGCCCGCCGTAACATTTTGTATATCGATGCTTCTAAGGATCCCAAAAGTTGACGAGTTGTATGGGCGTATCGTATTGATAGTAGGAGTTGTCCTAACAGTATTGGTGAGTTGAAATTTAGGATAACAATGTCAAAAATGATCGGTAGAACTTATTCTCGTGGTTTGTGTTTGACAGGACTTGATTTTTCTGTACATGACTTCTGCGACAAATCCCGGAATCATTCCTAGGAGCACACAGCTCCCGGAATGCGACAATGTGTCCGAATTCTTGGGATCTATGGATTGGATCAGCAGTGCAAGTCTCGACCTTCGGATCCCGAGAACAAAGGATGTTATTGTGAATGGCCACACGGTGAAAGTGAAGTTCTGTGATACTTGTTTGTTGTATCGCCCTCCCCGAGCTTCTCATTGCTCCATCTGCAATAACTGCGTCCAGAGGTTTGATCATCACTGTCCTTGGGTGGGCCAGTGTATCGGCGTTGTAAGGTTTCCGACACTTTTATTATGGATATGTTAAATTTTCCGGTATATCGTATGTGGGGAATTTTGCTAGATGTTTAGTTGAGAATTATACTCTTTCTGTCTAGGTTACTTACGCCACTTTCGTTGGAATGGAGACTAAAAAATATTAATATTACATTTCCTCTGTCCGGCTCTAAGGGTCCTATTTACCTTTTGTATCATTGTGCTTTAACATTAAAAATATTTTTATATTTGTATAATTTTTAGCACAAATATTATTATAATAATATTATAAAACACTAATTGAAGTATTTTGACCATTTTCTCTTAATTTGTACTACGTTTTGATATAATAATTAATATTCAAAGATTAACACGCAAAAAGTAAATGAGACATTTAGAGCCGGACGGAGATAGTAATATATATGTGAAGTAAAAAGTAAGTAGATGTATTATGAGAATTTATTAAGGGAGTGTTAAAAAACGTTGTAGGGTAAGTAGAAAAAAGTAATGAAAAATGATTATTATTAACTAAAATAAGGGTATTAAAATAATGCATGGTTAAAGAATTTTTGGAAAAATAGCATAAAAACCACTTTGGTTTATGAAAATTACACGAATGCCTCTTATTGTTTTGAAATTGCGTCAAAATCCTTATAGTTTCAAAGACCATGCATTTAATCCCCTCTTTTGTTAATAGTGATTTAGTAGTTATGCAGTTTCTGAATTACCTTCACAGTTAAAATGCGCGTAGAGCAATTGCTGTTAACTAATGACGGAATGAAAGTTAACACAGGGAAGTCTAAAGTAGTGTTAAAACAATAGGGGTTTTACGCAATTTTCATAAACCATAGGTGGGTTTTATGTTGTTTTGGCATGTTCTTTACTATATATGGATTATGTACAAATTTAGGGTGTGTTTGTTTGAGGGTTTGGATTTTGGGTTGGGATTTGAATAGTAAAAATTTTGAATTTGAATAGTTGTATGATGTGATATAAATAAGAATTGATGTGATGTTTTGAATGTAAAATTGATTTTTTTTAGTATAATATAAAAAATGAAAAATAAATGTTTGATTTGATGTTTTTGGAGGAAAAATTTTGTGGGAATAGTAGAAATCCCACAAAATCCCTCAAACGAACACACCCTAAGTGTACAACTAAAAAGACTCGACATAATTATACCGGATGTAGGGAGTATAATTTAGGGTGAAGTATAAATTATTTTCATGAACTACAAATATTCGATAGATAGTTTTCTTAAAATAGTGTAATCTACCTCTTTTAATAATTTTGGGTTTTGTTAAAACCGAACCATTTCATGGAGGATAATTTGGTTGTGTTTGTATGCATATATTGGTTATCTGTAGCAGTACTTCACTCTTGACTTTTGGGATTTTGATTTCCTTGATTTTGTTGGATCTGCGACTAATGTTTGCCTGGTTGATGTTTTGTTGCAGCGAAACTACCGCACATTCTATTTGTTTGTATCAACATCGACAATCTTGTGCTTATACGTTTTCATATTTTCTTGGATGAACCTCCTAAGAGAACCAGGCCGCATATGGAGATCCATGTCAAGGGATATGGTATCGGTTGTGCTAATAATCTACTGCTTCATTTCGGTGTGGTTTGTTGGCGGGCTTAGCGTCTTTCACTTCTACCTAATTTGCACCAACCAGGTTAGCAAACTTCCGTGATTGACATATAGAACTATTTTCATATTAGAGTGTGCTTTTGTTTGAAAAAAAGTGCAAGAAGCTATTTGCAAAACCTTCTACTTCTAAGGCTCTGTTTGGTTGGCATTCCAATCAAAGTTGGCACTATGCTCTCAATTTCTTATTCAAAATATTAAATCATACGAGACCCGCTCAAAATTCATTTAAAATCTTCTATTTTTATACCTCTTTTTGATAAATATATATTCGAAACTCTTCGTTTATTTGTAAATTAATTTATATTAATCATAAACAAATATTTATATTTTTTTATTTATTTGAATTATATAAAATTTTATTCTCTATGAAATGATATTTATATTGTAACTATTTTATTAAAATATAGTTATTAAAATGATTAAATAGATATTTTAAAAAATTTTAATCCTATATATATAGTACATCATAAATCAAATAGTAATTAAATAAATGACTTCCAACTCAAATTCCAACCGGTAACCAAACGCACTATAAGTTAGTAATTTTACATATATTTTGTATGTAGTATGTATAATTGTTGACTCGATGTTACCATGTGTCGTTTCTATTTATATAAATTGCTGATTAAATATTAACAATTTACTATTTGTATCTATAATCTATATGCAGAGTGGTGTTTGAATATTCTAAAGTTATTTTATCAAATGTGTTGAATGGATGTTAATTATGTGTGAGTAAACATTAATGATGTGTTGCTTGTATTTATATACATAATGTTTTTAAATATAAGTTACTTTAGCTAACTGGCCTAAATGGATATTATTCGTGTGTTGTCTGTAATTATATATATAGCGTTGACTGTGTTGTGTGTATATATATGTATATAGATGTATCGTTGTAGATTTTATTTTTATTAAATTTATACTAATATTACTTTTCTACTATCGATTAAATATTAGCCTTTAAATTAAAAGCTAATAAGTTAAGTAGAAAAGATTAGTTATAAAATTTTGTAAAAAACCCAAAAAGACAAACAACAAAAAGGAGTTTCATAACTTGTTTTAAATATCAATTATCAATAGACACTTTAAATTATTGTTATAAATAATCAATAACTATTGAGGATCTTTGATAGTGATAAAGATATTTGGTATTATTTGTAATTAAATTTCAAGACCTTGATGCAGTTCTATTTTGATGTATTGTTGTAACACTAAAATTAGTTTGATGATTGTACAGACAACATATGAGAACTTCCGGTATCGTTATGACAAGAAAGAAAATCCATATAATCGAGGAATGCTCAAGAACTTGAAGGAAATATGTTTCTCAAGGACAGTGCCTTCACTTGTCAATTTCCGGGAATGGGTGGCCGAAGAAGACTATTCTAGTATGGCATCCATAAGTAGAAAATTTGGTGTGGACACTCTGAAGTCGAATGGCAAGATAGACCTGGAACTTGGAGTCATTAGCAAGGACGGTAAATCTGTCCCGACTATTCTGCAGAATTTAGATTATAGTGGAATCAAAGACAGCTTCAAGAAAGGTACCAAAGATGGAAAGCCCAACCTTGACCCGATATTTTTATCCTTCGATGAAGAAGGCTCTGCCGCAGAAGATGCTAGCACCATTGATGATAATGGGACAGATGATCGTCCTCAGAAGGCATCGGCTGCAGGGCCTCGGAGATAAAAGGTATGCCATTATTTAAAGTTATCAAATGCAATATTGATCCCATTGCAATATTGATGCAATGAAAATTGGTGTTTGGATACAATTTTTTGAATATAAAAATAGATATTAGATGCAATGCTACTCTATGCAAATACAAACACAAACAAATGAACATTATTTTGTCGGAAGTAAACAAACTATTTTGTTGTTGCTATAAAGTGTTGTAGTTTTGATCTCTAAATACGTCCTTTTTTTTTTTTTTGGGAAAACGCTCATGTAGCATGAAAGGGTCGATGAATCCATTCCTAAGAGGTGAAGTCGATGAAATCATTCTGGGAGGAGGATGCGCCACAAGTTACCTTAGAGGAAAATCTGGCAGGTAATTATCGATGTATATAATTTTTAAGGAGCGGATATAATTGTTTAAGCTGTTTTTGTTTCATTTTTGTTTATGGGCAATTTTTCTTTCCCACGAAAATTGCTTGCACTATATTTCAAAAAGGGTATTATTTTTGCACATGATATGATGAAAGACGAAAACCATTAGACAGGTGAACTTGTAAGGTGTTACCGTGAAGTCATGGGTTCAAATTCCTACGTCTTCCGATCTTGTCTGCCGCACATAGTTCGCTTAGTATGACTTGTTTTGTCGGATATAATTTGCAGGCTATTAAGCTTGACCGGTGGTTTATCTAGAGCGCACACGAAAAGTAGCGGTTGCAGATTCTCACGGAAAAAAAATAAAAATTAGATAGCTAAATGAATTAAAATATGCCCATTTTTGCTGCTCATAAGCCTGAGGTTAGGTTGTAATAACACCACCAATATTGAATTCTCCTAATTAAAATATAAATTATTATTATTATTATTTTATTGCTATTGTTATTGTTGTTGTTGCTATGTTGTTGTAACTGATTGATTAGATGAAGTAATTGAAGGAGTTTGATATTGAATTGTGTAAAAGAATATCATGAATAATGTAAGAAATGTATTGTATAAGTGGATGTGTTTGGTTGCAAGTTAGCGAGGTGTAGATGAAAGTTTGAATTTAATGTTGAGCAACAAGATATTTTGATTGTAAATTGAGTTACAATGTAATACATATTTTATTAAAAAAATAATTCTAACTGTGTCCGCAACTAGTGAAATGGTACTTATAAAGCTGGTAATAAGTTGATTCATGTTGGTTGAATATTTTAAATGGGTTGAATATTCTAACTCGCCTATTTATTATCTTATCGGGTCCATGTTGATCCGTGTTGACTCGTATACAAAATTAAATTCGGATTGTCGTATCGGATTCGAGTTGAGAGTCTTAACCATGACTCGATTTGTTTATTATCATGTTGGGTTCGTATCAATCCGTATATATTATCCGATTGAAAATTTTGATCCAAATTCAATTATTTTGTATTAAATTCGTATCGAATTGTCGTGTGGTGTCAATTTTTGCTAGTTCTAGTTATTTATGTGGTATAATAATAATAATAATAATAACACTACATCTGACCCTGTAAAAGTATTCGATGATTACTTTTGGTGCATAGTTCAATGAAAATTTGAATTTTAAGTTACTAGTAGGACTTATTAATACATGTAAAGATTATTTTATCTTTCATATGTAAGTTAATGAACTGATAGACAACACCAAAATTACCTGTGGTATAGGATTCCATGATTCTCGAATCACTGCATGAGTAGAATGACGCTCGACCAAAATCCATGACTCCATTGGACTGCTGACGCTCAGAATCAGCGCATCGGATATCTCCTCCGTTGCGTTTGCTGAACCCTGATCCTTCTCCGGCGCCCTACACTGTCGTTTCAAGTGCCCCTTGCAGTTTCAATATACCACTTGACTTGCATCTTCATTGTCCTTATTCTTCGGCTTCAACTTTGACCATTCTTGATCTTCACCCTTTCCTTTTGCCTCAAATCTAAATTCAGTCGAGACATTCTCCCAAAGGGTTAGTCGAACCGCACTCATCGTCTTCCTGTCGATCTTCTTGTATTCGGCTTCATCCATGTCTTCGAATTTCTCCTTCAATACCGCATCTAGATCTTTACCATACATGTAATCTTCTATCAGCATATTTCAGAAATCGAAGTTCATACCATCGAATACCTTGACAACATGACGATCACCCATCTTAACTCCCACAAACAAACCAAGGTTCACTTGATATGAGAGCACATCGGATATCTCCTCCGCTGCGTTTTCCGAAACCCTTATCCTTCCCTGCCAACCTTGCACCGCCTATCACAAAGGGACTCGCTGCCTGACCTACCAGTCGGGACCGACCCAACACCGCCAGGAGACTTTCGACACAAGGCACCTCCGCAGGTCACAAGGGATTCCCACAACGATCCAACGTCCGATTCCTCTCAATCCACCCTATCAACGAACTAGGCTCTGATACCACTTGTTATGAAAATTTCAGGAAATCAAGATGAAATAACAAGGACAAAAGAACACAAGAATTTGGTAACCCAGTTCGATCACGATGATCTACGTCTGGGGGCGCTGCCAAGCCAGGAATTTTACTATAAAATACGCAGGCACATGTTAAAGTGAGAATACATGGATATTTATAGCCTAAGTCTTTGACAATAATATCCAAATCATATCTCCAAAATCTAAAATATAATATCCAAATTATATCCCTAGATTTTAGGATATAATCAGGCTTCATATCCCAACAATAGTCTTATAATACTAATAGAAGAACATTTGTACAATTATTATAGCTATTCATTTCCTTGTCAATTTATCTTGAGATGACTGTAAAACATAAATTGAGAAAATGACACAAAGCATCAGCCCTGCTTGTCAACCATTGAGAAATATATATATATGTATGTATATATATATATATTGAACTCAATATGTTGAAAAATGAAATAGTTTTGAAACTACTTTGAGGTTTAGATTTTGAAAAACTTACTTGACTTAGGATATTTATTTTAAAAACCTCAAAAGAAGGCGAAGGACTAATCGATGCCATTTATGCGCATTCTTAATCACACTATCAAGCGCAATCACAAATCATGAATGATTTTGGTGCATTTATGCACATTCTCAATGTTGGTGGGCTATAAAATTATTAATGATTCTTATCCCATTAAAGCTTAAATTTTTAGGTAAAATATTTATTTAACACTCAACATCGACATATAAATAACCAAATTCTTAAACTCAAGAGAATAAAAGGGAAAAGAAATCGAATGGTAGTTTTGGCTTGAGGTAACTAATGTTACACAATCATTTTATGCAATAACCAATATATGGCTCAAGAATAGCCTATAAGTCCTTCAGGGGCATCGATCCAAAAGTTTTTAAAAAGATTGAGACTCGTCGCTTAGGTTGAAAACCTTCACTCCGATCCGGGATAGTATCTTTGTTTGCTTATTGAATACATGATGTGAAATTGAGCCCTCGGAAAATAAATATTGTTCCCTATTTTTCCCGGGAAATCTACTTTGATATAGGAATTAGATCCTCTATGTTAAGAAGGTCAGTGATCGAGGTTCCAACTTAATACAAATTGGTACTAAATGGAATAGTTCACTCTTATGAGTAATATGAAGTTCCTACATTATTACTATGTGGGGCAATATTTAATACTCCAAAAGATGATAATCTTAAAAAATTTAAACCATGTTAAGAAGGAATTTCAACTTAAAATCAATTGGTACTAAGTGGAATAGTAATTCACACTTATAAGTAATAGGGAACGGAGGGAGTATATGTTTGTCAGGTTGGCCCCGAACGCGGAGGATTTGGAGTGTGGCGGGTCCTGAGGCCAGACTGAAGCAAGCTAGGCAGGGCGTATCCTAGACATAATGGATGTGTTTCTTTAGGGGAGTTTGAGAAAATTTGAGTTTTTATTTAGGTTTTATTTGAATTTTTGGATGAGTTTGAATTTTGATGTTTCTTTTGTGTTTAGGTTCGGTTTGGGTTTGGAGAGTTTTGATGTGTATTGATTTGATAGATAATGAATAAAATAATATAATGTGTATTAAGTTTAATTGATAAAATTTATATTATATGATTTGATTATGAATTTATATTATACCCAACATATATATTTTTTATTTTTATTTATTTCTATTATAGAAAATTTTATTCTCGAAATATATATTATATATATTTTTGTTACTGTATAATTATTATAAATATTAAATAAATATTTAAAAAAAAATTATATTGCAGCTTTTGCTGCAAGCTGCATTAATTGTCGGTCCGGTTTTGCATAGTTATTTTGCCCGGGACTTGCAGAAGCAGACCCAATATTTCTTTTAACAAGGCGGTCCAGGAACTATAGAACCCGTTCCAAATCCACCCCGTTGTCGTCCCCCACCCTTCAACATAGTAATCGCGGCTAAGAAAATAACTTATAAAAAATAGTAAATATTGTATAATAAAATAATTTTAAAAAATCTCAAAAAATATTGTTAAGTGTGTTTGTTGGGTTTGGTTTAAAAAGATTTAGTTTAGATTTTGTATTTTAATAATGTATAAGAAGATATTTTATAAATAAATAAAAAATGAGAAATACAAAATTCAAATACTCATTCTATTTCTTAATAACGTATTTATTTACTTTTTGGATTATTATACTTGACTCTTAGAATGTTACTTCCTCCGTCGTATATTTATATATTCAATTTTTTTAGATGAAAATTTTAAAAATATTAGTATTATATTAGAATAAAAAAAAATAAAGGTAAAAAAACATTAACCCTATTAGTATTGTATTATATAAACGTAATGACATTTGTGTAATATATTGTAAATTGGAAGGGTATTTGTAACGTTAGGTAAATAGTACAATTACTATAAAAATAAATAAATACTTTATTATGAGACGGACCAATATAAAAAAATGAATAGATTATTAAGGGATAGAGGAAATATTATATTTGTATTATATAATACTAATAAAAATATTATTATATTTTTTTCTTGATTTGTACAATGTATAAATAATATTAATATTTAAAATTTAATACGCAAAAAATAAATAAATATTTATTTAATAGACGAAGAGAAAATACAATTAAAAAAAAAAAAATCTTTTAAAGAAACACATCAAAAAGCTTCCAAACCAAGCATACGTATTTATTTTTAATTGAATATATAAATAGTCGCATCTATATTAAGACACACAAAAAAAATAGGCCCATATTCAGCAGCTATAATTTTGGGTCTTAATCATCTTGGGCCAGGCCCATTTAATTTCCATATATTTTTTATACACTAAGGGTGTGTTTGATTTAGGATTTGAATTTTGAATTGAGGTTTGAATAGTAAAAATTTTAATTTAAATAGTCGTATGATAGGATATAAATAAGCGTTAATACGATGTTTTGAATGTAAAATTAGTTTTTAGTATAATATAAAAAATAAAAAATAGATGTTTAATTTGATATTTTTGAAAAAAAAATGGGATGAATAGTATATTTAAAATCCAATCCCCAAACAAAAACACCCTATGAGTGTGTGTTTGGAGAATTTCTCCAAAAATATAGTATTCATCCAAATTTTTTTTCCAAAGACATTAAATTAAACACTTATTTTTTATTTTTTATATTATATGAAAAATTAATTTTATATTCAAAACATCACATCAACATCTATTTACAAATATTACAATTCAAACTTTTTATTATTCAAATCTCAATTCAAAATTCAATCTTTCGAACAAACACACTCTATACCTTAGCCTTAAGGGGTGCATTTCTTTAGGGGGGTTTGGAGAAATTTGCGTTTGGGTTTGATTTTTATTTAAATTTTGGGATGAATTTGAATTTTGTTATTCCTTTGGTATTTGGGTTTGGTTGGAGTTTGGAGAGTTTTGATGTGTATTAATTTGATGGATAATTAATAAAATAATATAAATGTGTATTAAATTTAATTGATAAATTTTATATTGTATAATTTGATTATAAATTTATATTATGCCCAATATATATACTCTCTCCGTCCAGGTGCAAGGTTATCGTTTACCTTTTGCATGTAGATTTTTAAATATTAGTATTATAATATATTGCAGTGAAAAAGATGAAAATACCCCTATTAGTATTGTGTAATATAAAAGCAATGATATCTGTATAATATAGCGTAAATTGAAAGAGTATTTATTATGTTATGCACAATTACTAAATTAAGAAATAATAATCTTGGGACAGACAAAAATAAAAAATGACAACATTTATTTATTTATATTATAAAAATTTTATTGTCTACAAAATGACAGCATATATATTTTTTTTTCGAAGAAACAGACCCTGATATTCCGGTTTATATATGCAGTACTTTTTGCTACTTGAAATTACATAATTATCCTCTAGTAATTTTCAAATCTGCACCTTTGCCCTGTGTAACCTCTGCGCAGCCGCCGAATATCTTATTCTCTTTCTTCATCGTTTCCTTCTCCTTCGCCGTTTCCGTGCTGCTCTTCGAAAGGGGATCAAATTGACCGCCGGTAAGTTCAATTTATGTATTTATTGTTGAAGAGAGTCGGTTCACGGTTTCAAGATTATTGGAATCGAAAAAGTTGGGTTTTGGTTCGGTGAACATCAAGCACCGTATCCTCCTCCCACTCCTTTGCCATATTTTGATTCATCTGTTTGTTTATTATCGTAGGTGAGGGAATATTTATTAATAATGTTTGTTTCTTTCCTTTCGTTTATAAAATTTTCAGTTTTACACGAATTGGCTTGGATTGGTGGTATTGGGTAGTTAGTTGGAAGATATATTTACCTTTCAGAGCTGAAAATATGCATTATTCGTCTAGGAACTGATTTACCTTCTTATAATCATCTTCCTGTTTGATTTTATGCAATTTAAGAGCAAGCATATTTTAGTTGGAAATTAGTCTTTTATGAATGGGTTGTCAGATTTGGCTTTTGTTTTGTTAATTTGATGAAAACATTTCACTTGTATTTACACTTGTGTGTTTGTTTGGGGGTTTGGATTTTTTTTGTTTTAGTTTGAATTGTAAAAATCTTCAATTGAAATAGCTGTAAGATGTTATATTTTGAATATAAAATTGATCTTAGTATAATAGTTTAAAAATTAAAAAATAAATGTTTGATTTGAAATCTTTAATTCCTTAGAAACAAGTGTGTACCTAGAGCATAAGCATGTTCGTTAAAGATATTCTTATGTCATTTAGCTATGGTATGTTGTATACTTGTATACCATCGGAACAAGACTTAATGCTTGTCTAGCTAGAATTCAAGAAGAATTGTTTGGCGTTTGCATTTATCCATTTTATTGGGCTAAGATATGAGTTTCCGATGTGTTTACATAGGTTGATTGTGGTTTATTACATAATTTTAAGCCTTGATGCTGGAGTAGGACATGTTGTAGCTGCTTGTAGTTGATTTATGTTGCATTATCGGGCTTTTTGTTACGGTTTGTGAGGCTTATAATAGATTATAATACTTTTTGATTTTTTTAGTGTCTATTATTTTTAGAGATGTGAAAGAGTTTAATGAGTTATATTAATTTTAGAAGAATTTGCCACGCCATGGGATCGGCATTACAATTCTACAATGTGGCACACATTGTTATACCTGTTGAATTTTTCCAAATAGTTTTTCTTTTTTTTCCTTGTCAGATTAGACTCATCCATTTATGAAGTCATACAACGTTTTTGTTTGCACGGGCATCCGCCAAGTCATTTCATTAGGTGTTTAATATTATATATTTCTTGGCAGCTCCATTATTGTTGTCAAAATGGACCTATGAAATTTTTTAATTTTATTTGCATTGTACTCTCCAATGGCTGCTAATAATATTACACGTTGGGTGAAATACAGAAGCAAGGCATTGGAACTTTTCTTTATCAAGCAAATTAAGGCTCATTGCTGGTATCAACTAATCAATTTTAGTAATAAAAATATAAGTGAATCTCTTGATGTAACTATACATGTTACCAAAATTATGAAATATATATATTCATACTATATTTCTGATAATGCATACTAATCTTACATTACAAAGCACTTGTGCGCCCTGTGAGATCTAGAATATATGTATATATTGAAATCCATCGAGGTTTGCAGAAATTGGCTGTAGCGAAGAGCTCAAGGATGGATCGTGGACTGACGGCGGAAGCAGCAGCGCAGCTGCAGGACGGAATTAACTTGGTGCTATCTCGATGGGCGGCCCTCCGGATGGCCGTGGAGAATGAGTGGGGCGGCCGAGATTCGTCGCAAAAGGCTCAGCAGCTCGGCCAACAATTATGCTATCTCCTCACCCAATCCAAAGGTATGGACTAGATGTTCTTTTGATAGCGTGTTGGTGGACACGATGGTGTCCTTTGTTGTAGTGAACAAATTTGAATTTTTGCTCACTGAGTTTTAGCTTTATTGCATGAATCGGAATTTGCAAACTGCTATTTGGAATTTGTCTATGGCTTTGGATTTGATTTGTGCTTGTAAGTTCAATGTATTTAGTATGCGAGTTTTGATGCAATTGAATTTAATTTCCAGTGCTATTGAATTTGGTCTTTCTTTCTTTATATTTCAATCCGTCCCTAATTTGTCTCAACTTAGTTGTGCTAAAAACTTGATATACCCTAAACTTGTGTTCTCAATTTGTACTTTTTGTTTTTGGCCCTAGAGCAAGTATACATTGAAGATTTGGAGGATATGCTTGAAGAGTCCGTTCTTTCTCTCAACACCGTGATAGATGATGGAAGCATTGAGGAGGTATGACCTATCGACAAATAGATGTGAGCTTCACGTATATCAAGTTATCAATATAGATTATGCTTGTTCTTCATTTTCTATATTTCCCGAAACAACAATCAACTAGGTCTGGGAAAACTTATATGGTATATGAATCTGATGTGTACAAATTTCGATTTAATAATGTATAATTTTGAAAAAATTTGAATTAGTAATGTAATCCTGAAGCACTTTCTGTATTAGTGTGATAACGGATCTGTATGTGCTTCAAGATTTAGTGTTTGTTTTGTCAATTGATTGAACTTTGAAGCCAAGGCAGACTGCTTAGTATTTTACGTTTGTTTGAATTGGGAAGTTTGTTATAGAGATATTTATTATTTTTTGTGCCTAAAGCTAGCTACTGAAAATAAAGATTTGTGTGTGCTGCATACTCCTGTCGTGTATACTCGGGCATATCTTATTTTAAGCTTAAGCAACTAACAAATTATACAACTAACGTAAGCTTAAGAAACTTATGATTTGTATTAGCAAACCTTTGCCACACTGTGCCTTTTATGTACTCCGGAGTGTTATATTAAGCTTAAACAACTGACGAATTGTATAGTAAACATTTGCCACATTGTTCTTTTATATACTTGAGAATAACTTATGCTAAGCTTAAGCAACTGACAAAGTGTATTGGGAAACATTTTTCAAATTGTGTCCTTATGTACTCGGGAGCATCTTATATTAAGCCTAAGCAACTGAGGAATTGTATCATAAAACATTTGCCACATTGTGCTTTCAGAATATTTAACTTAGAGAACTATTATTCATCGGGCTTGTTGAACACCATGGGTATTCATTTTTATTTATATTTTTATTTTCACGGTCATCTTATTATTAGTATTTTTTTCACTAGTTTGTTCATGGATCTAACAAAATTCTGTCATACCAGGTGGCAGAAAAGTTGTTGGTGATGCATGAAGAATGTGTACAAGGTAACTTTGACTCGATCGAAAAATTGAAGAGATCAAATGCTCCGAGTCTGACTTATGTCAAACAGGTAAACATGACTACATTGTGCTTGAATTTTTATCCCAAGATTATTGAACCCTTTAATATCTTATGCTTAGCTGTACATATTTTCAACTAGTTTTATTCAACTTCCGTATTGAGATCCGAGACCAAGTTACCCAATGGTTGAAATTTTCTACATTTATACAATACCATAATATGAAAACTATCCAAACATTTTCATTAGATGGATTAGATAGAACCACCATTGTAAATGAAAAATGCGTTGGACATGATGTTTAAAATGAAAATTAAGTTTTGGACGTTTGTTGTGAATAAACATTCGTGTTTGGTGCGACTCTTTTGTATTGTAGATTGAACTAAGTTGAGTGGGTTTTGATTAGTTTGGTGATATTTCAGCCCGGGAATGATGATGAAGAGAGTGAAGATGATGAAGTCAACATTAACCGGCCTTCGGATATGGAAGTTGATGTTCAACAGGGCGAACCAATCCCTAATACGACGGCCACAACCAGCGGTGATACTGATAGCCGCAGCCAAGCACCCGAAGTTGTAGATGGATGGACCGTTGTATCTTCCCGGCGCAACCGGAGTCGAAGAAACTAGAGGTGAAGAGATTTTGTTACTTCCTAAAACCTCTCGTGGTAAGATTTTTTGTTCTTTTGGTAATTTATGTTATAAGCTATTTTATGTCCATTTAGTCTAGCAGTAAATTTCTACAGACTCTACTTACCTTGTAGTATTGTGAATTTCGAGGTTTCAGTAGTTTTGAGGTGAGTTTGTTTGGAGGTTTGGATTTTTGGATTTGATATCTTAATAGTAAAAATTGAGTTGAAATAGTTGTACAGTGATATAAATAGGTGTAGTTGTTAATGTGATATTTTAAATATAAAATTTATTTTTAATATAATATAAAAAATAATAAAATATGTAATTAATTTGATATTTTTTTGGAGAAAAAAAAAATTTACTAAGGTTATATTCAATCCATCAATTTTATTTATCTAGTTTTAACTCCTCGCCACAATCAATAACTCTATTTTTTATTATTATTATTTAAATATTAAATTTTTTTTATTATTTTAAACAATTTTTTATTTTTATAATTAAAATACTTTTTAAAAAAAATTATAAAAATAAAAAATAAATGTACGAAGTTAAAATTTAAAACTTTAAATATATATATATTAAGGCAACACTGTTTTTTGGGCAGTGCAACGCCAAATCCGGCGCTGGGTTGAAGATTAAATAGTATTCCCGTCGACATAATTTATCTCTATTTCTTATTTTAGTTTGTCCACCTAATTTGTTTTTTTTTTATTTTTGGAAATATAATTATGTATTTTAATCACATTTTAAATTTTATAATTTTTAAATTTTAATTAAACTATTTACTTAGGTTAATAATCTATAATTATTTTTATTAAATAATAATTATTTTTACTAATATACTTCTTAATTATTTATTAATTATACTTTACCTAAATTCTCGTGTCTACAGTAATACATCCATATTACATGGGACAGTAATACACCCATATTACATGGGACGGAGGGAGTAAATTTTTTGAAAGATCTCAAAAACTAACACACGTGTAATTAATTCATAAATGAAATATTGAATTATTAATTGAATTTTGATAAGTTCGTAAATTTAATGTTTTTAATTTTTTTTTTCTTTTGTTTTTAAAGAAAATGGTAAATACATTATAGTAAATTGGGCTGAGCTTTTGCTTAATGGGCTAGGTGGAGCTAAAGTGTTGACCCGGGCTGGATTTTGTGTGATGTTCGGGCCTCTTGAACTGGGCTGAGTTTGGTACTTCCTTCGTCTCAGAACTATTGTCTCGGTTGTGTTTGATATAAAATTTAAAAAATATTAATATTATATTGATAGTAGGTAAAAAGTACGGGTAAAAGACTTCTTTTTCATTGTGAGTGAATTAGTGAAAAAAGTAGTGGCAATTGTGTAATAATAATGAAAAAATATGAGTAGTTTTTATAGTGATATACTGATATGGTTATTTATGGAAATAAGATTATTATTTTGGGATAGACAAAAATGATAAACAAGACTATTGCATTGGAACGGAGGGAGTATAATGGACCGGGTTTGTTTGTGTGGATGGGCCCATATAAAACGGGTTGGTCTTATATAAATAAAAATGGATTGGCCTTTCCAGTTCTTCGTAGAGGTTTGTTTTTTATTTTTACTCGTATCTCTCCATGAAATTCGAACTTCCAATTTCGAACATGTAGAGAAAGTTCGACCATTTGAGCTACACTTATTTCACTTTCAAGCATGTCGAGTGAGCTCGACCGTTTGAGTTATACTTCTACAAATTTTTTATAAAGTAAGGGTAAAGTGCTTTTGTTTTTGTGAAATTATTGTTTAGATAGCGGTTTTTTGAGGTTTTTAGAATTTTAAAAGTTTGAAAAACGTAAAAAATTAGTATTTAATTAAATATTTTGTGATAAAAAAATATATTTCATGTAATATTTTTTAAACAATGAATAGTGTCAAATAAATAAAGGCGTGTATCGTAAACAAAACCTTGCTTATTAGAAGCAATGGAATTTGAAATCCAATTAATGTTGGAAACTGGACTTGAGTATATTTTTATTTAAAAAATAAAAATGGACAAAAAAAAAATTATAAAGTATGGACTATGCTTTTTTTTTTAAATGTTGAAAAATTATAAAAATTAATTTGTAGGATGTTGTGTTATAAGTATGTATGCCACTTATTTTTTATATTTATTTCGTCCCTTATTTATCTATCTGTTTATTTTTATACTGAATTTTAGAAATATTAATATTATATTCGAATGTAGTAGAAATAAAGATAAAAAGACTCAACTAACATTATTAGTATTGTATGATATAAAGGTGATGACATTTGTGTAATATATTATAAATTGTAAGGGTATTTGTAATGTTAGATAGATACTATAAAAAAAATGAAATTGATACTTTGTTATGAGACATGACCAAAATGAAAAAATAAATAAATTATTAAGGAACGAAAAAAAGTATATTTTATCCTTTTACAAAAGTCAATATTCAATATAAAATATTATTTTTTATACTATCGGGCTGCACATAAAAAATCAAATCATAACATTAAACAAACAAATCTAAATTGCTTTATAAAATAAGATTAAGAAATAGCATATCAAACATAAATCTCTTTTATAAAAAAAAATTCATGAAGTATATATATTACTCGTATATTGTAATTTTTTTAAAGTGTAAATTATATAATATCCCCTTGTGTTTTACTAAAAATGCACAAAATACTCTATATTTTATTTATTATGTAAAACCTTATTGTGTTAATATAAAGTTTGTATGAAATACTCCTTATTCAAAACTGATATTTGTTCTAAATAAAGACTTAAACTAAGCAAATTTTATATATATAAAAACATAAAACATCTTAAATATTTTTTTTTGAATAATATAAATAAATAAATAATTCATCAATCACTTACGTTTATAGTTTGTATAACAATCAGATAACAATTTTGTCTCAAAAAATTATAAAATAAAGGATTAATCAATTAATTATTTATTTATTTTGTTTAAAAAAATTATTTAAGATATTTTGCATTTTTTATTTGTATAAGATTTGCGTAATTTAGGTCTTTATTTAAAACCAAATATCAGTTTTGGACAAGGAGGATGTTTCGTGCAAATTTTACATTAACACAAAGAGTTTCACGCAATAAATAAAACACATGATGTTTTGTGCATTTTTACTAAAACACAAGGAGTGTTATATAATTTACCTTTTTTTAAAATAATATTTCTTGAGAATTATTTTATTAAAAATACTAAAAAAACAAACTTAATATTAAATATGATATTTATCAATTTGCTCAATAATAATCATAACTGCATAAAAAAAGAAAAGGCAACGTTGTAGGACAACATCCTACAAAGGAATTTACATTAAACTCAAGCATTAATATATTAATCATAATTAAAACACTAATTGATCGTCCTTTATTAATTAGATTACAGATAGGGGAAATCTTTGTTTGTTTTTGTTTTTTTTTTTTTTTTTTTTTTTTATAATTTTGAGATAATTAATTATGAAATACAATAGTGCAATATTTGAAGAGGTTTTTGGTGCTTGTCAGCGTTATTCCGTCGAGGAAGCTAAATAATTTTATTGAGGTTGACAAATTAAATATTTTTATCATTTTGAATAAAATCGATAATAAAAATATATTTCTTCGGTCCCGTCATAATTGATACTGTTTTGGCTAAAAATTATTAAATCAAAACATACTTAACAAATATAAATCAACTTAATTAACTACATAATATATAACATCATAAATGACGACATAGGATCCATTCAAAAGTCTTTTATTTCTATATCTCTCCTAAAAAAATAAATAAATAAATAAATAAATTTACTTACTTGTATTATAAAAAATTTTATTGACTACAGAACGATATTCATATTGCATATATTGTTTTATTGCTATATAATTTTTAAATATTTAAACATATATTTTATTTTTTTAATCATATACATTAAATTTATTTTAAAACTATAAATATTATTAATTACATAAAAAAAAATAATATAATAATATTATAACTCATTATTATTAACTAATTAAATATCATTACCTTAAATACCGTGTTCATAATCAAATGGTTCAATTCTGGTGGGATAGAGTGAGTATATTTTGACTTATTTAGTCAATTTAAAAATACTAACATAGTAAGGATTAATCGAATAAAATCAGACAAACGGTGAATATAATCAACAATATAATCGATGTAACGGCGGAGACGATAGTTCGTGGAGCTCGAGATCCCCTAAGCCTCTATGTGGCCCCGCCACTAATCCCCACTGGTTGTGGCCTCCGTGTTGGAATTGTCCCGACCCGTTGAACATCAACTTCCATATCAGGAAGCCGATTAATATTGACTTTATCATCTTCATCTCTATTCCCGGGCTGAAATATTACCAACATAATCAAAACCATTGGATTTAATTAATAATACTTTCGTCCGGTTTTAAGGGTCTCATTTACTTTTTGCGTGTTAATCTTTGAATATTAATTATTACATCAAAACGTAATACAAATCAAGAAAAAATTGCAAAAATACTTCTATTAGTGTCTTATAATACTAATAGGAGGACATTTGTAAAAAAAATTATGCAAATATAAGAATATTTTTAACGTTCAATACAATGACGCAAAAGGTAAATGTGACCCTTAGAGGCGGACGAAGGAAATATATACAAACATGTGGTGTATTCAATCTATAATACAAAAAATTCGCACCAAACACGAATACTTATTCACGACAAACGTAAAAAATTTATTATTCGTAAAGCTGTCAAAAGTAAACACGACCCAAAGACTCAATCCGAATTCGGCACAAAAAACTCGTGTTTGAGCCTAAAAAAATATACCAGAAAAATTCGAACCGTGTCCGTGCCTAGCCAAACATGAATATGAACCGGCCGTCTCCGGGCCCATCAAGATCGGATTGTGCCCGACTCGCCCGATTTGTAAGTTAAATACTACCTCCGTCCACCGCCAATCTATCCATTGTTTTTAACATTAAAAATATCTTTATATTTGTATAATTTTTTGTACATATGTTATTACATTAGTATTATAAGACACCAATATAAATATTTTTGTCATTTTTCTTTGATTTGTACTACGTTTTGATATAATAATTAATATTCAAATATTAACATAAAAAAATAAATGGATAAATTGACGGTGGACGGAGGTAGTATAATTTGTTTTAAAAAATTATAAATATATTAATGAATGAACTTACGTTAGAAATAAAAATATAGTCTAATAGTTTGATTTTATTATTGTTCATGTAAAATAATCATAATTTAATGATTTCCTCACAAATTAATTTAAACTAAATTCAATTTTAAATAATTCAACCTAATTCACGCTCAAACCAATAAAAATTAACGACAACACAACAAAAAATTATTTAATTTAAATCAAGAAATTTGACTTAATTATGTATACGGGTCAACACAAGTCAATCCGAACTCGACACGATAATAAATGGGTCAACCCAATCCCGATACGATAATAAACGGGTTGAATAATTTAACCCGTTTAAAATATTCAACTTGACACGAACCCGATACAAGTCGACCATTGCCGGCTCTATTAGTTGGTTCAATTTTCAAACTTAACACAAATATTCTATTAGATTGTTTTAGAATTAAAATATATTAAAATGGGCCGGGCCGGGCTATGCCTGTCGGGTCTGGAAGTATTATCGGGCCAGCCCTTTGTCACCTCTGATTTTTCATTCTAAATATCTTGTTCGAACACATTTTTCTATTTATATTGTTTGTTTAAATAAGATAAATTAAATTTGAAAATTAATTATTTTTTTTAAAGTCACATAACTCAAACTTGAAAAATAAATTATTTTTATTTTTCTATTTGTAATTCTTTTTCACATGCATCCTAAGAAAAATTAATATTGATGCAGTATATTTCTTCTTTTATTTTTGTACTATTAATTGTTAAAATGTTTTATAAAACTTATATTATTTCAAAGTTACAAAACATAAAATTTATTTGATTATTCAAATATTTAATTGTTGTAAGTTTTAAAAAAAAATATATACTAAAATTTGTCAAAAATATTTCTTCATTGATTTTTACTAGATAAAATCATTTAATCTTGATCGATTCATCCATGTAACTATATTATATTATATTTTTCAACACAATTATCTATTTTATCAAATAAAAGAATTAATTCTCATTTTTCTAATGAATTTATTTTATCTTTAATTTTATTCTTTACTCTCATATTTCTGTATCAATAGCTTAAAGAATTTGAGAGTGTGTTTGTTTGAAGGATTTTAAAAAATTTACACTATTCATACAAATTTCTCCCAAAACACGTCAAATCAAACACCTATTTTTTGTTTTTTTACTACCTCCGTCTGATTCTAAGGGTTCCATTTACTTTTGCGTGTTAATATTTAAATATTATTAATTATATCAAAACGAAATACAAATTAAAAAAAATTGCACAATACTTCCATTAGTTTTTTATAATACTAATAAAATAATATTTGTAATAAATTATACAAATATAAAGATATTTTTACTGTTAAGTACAATGATGCAAAAAGTAAATGTGACCCTTAGAAGCGGACAGGGGAAATATATTATTCTAAAAATCAATTTTACATTTAAAACATTACATCAATACTTATTTATATCACATTATATAACTTTTTCAATTCAAATCTTTTACTATTCAAATCACAATCCAAAAAAACAAACACATATATATACTCCCTCAATCCCATTGAAAAGTTATCATTTTTCATTTTCGTTCGTCCCAAAATAATGTTATCGTTTCTTAATTTAGTAATTGTACTACTTACATAACATAATAAATACCCTTACAACTTACACTATATTACACAAATATCATTACTTTAATATTACACAATACTAATAGAGGTATTTTCGTCTTTTTCATTACAACCCATTATAATACTAATATTTAAAAATTTATATGCAAAAAAGTAAACGGCAACTTTGATCGGGACAAATAGAGTATATAATTTGCAGATAGAAATAGTGGTTCAATCTAATCCTTCTATTAAAAGTGCATTAGGACATGGAGATTTAAGAATATAAAAATGATAATTAAATAGTAAAAAAAAAAAAAATCTTGATTAAGTTACTAACCATTTGTTATTATTTCCAATAATTTAAGCGATAATCTTGATTCATTTTTTTAAAAAAAAAATTCAAATAATTTAAGCGATAATTTCTTGATTTAATTATTTATTGTTTTAATTCAAAGAATTTATTTTGTAAACAGAATTTTTGAGTTGGGTTTTTTAAAATAAAAGTTAAACTCTGTATTGGGTATCCAATTTTAGAATATATATATATAATTTCAATTTATTTGAATGAGCTTATATCACTTGTTTCGGTCAAGTCAGTATAGTGCTGATTTGACGGAATATTATAACATATATTGTATTATAAATATGTTGAGATATGTATAAATATACGATTGTTACTCATATTAACATATATATATATATATACGTTGATCAGATCGAATCAGATCTGCCGCCTATTTGAATATACAATTATATTTACTTTTGAAAACAAAGTATGTAATATTAGGTATCTTTTACAATGTAGGGACAAGTAACAAAAAATAACTATAAAAAATATAAATATATATCTATATATTACTTTTCCAAGAATTATATTTTTATATATAAAAAAGGAAATATATTCTTAAATAGTTGTACTATAGTGTATATGAATGAGTTGGGAAATTTAGATGAAAATATTCAATGATTATATTTATTATCCATTGACAAACACTTTAGACATTTTTATTTAAGATAATTGATAGGCACGTGCCATATCACGTGCGTCGCTTTCAATTCATGGGCTCTCACACATTAGCTATTAGGTGGACCTAAAGTCTAAAGTGCCAAAGCGGCGCAACTACCCATTTGATCCAAATAAATAATTAGGTGTATTTTATTCGATTTTATTTTTTTTTTAAATATAAAATTTATAATGAATTTTAAATAAAAGATAAATATTATATTATTTATATTAAAAAAAAAAGTAATTAAGAAAATATGTATGGTATTTTGAAATTGAAATAATTAGTGGATACAAGTGTTTTGGTTTTAACTTTTTAAATAAATTGTTTGATATGATTTTTTTTTTATGAAAATAAATATTATAAATAATATTTTTATAAGAATTGTAAAAATGTGGGTGTGTTTTTTTTGTGTGATTTTTGGAAAAAGGTTTTTTTATTTTTATTTTTAATGTGAAGTATAGAGAATAGTGTAAAAAATATAAAAATAATGAATATGTGTAATATATTAAATTTTTAGAAAAATATGCGGAAAAATTAGAAAGAACAAAGTCTGCATATTTCATTGTTTGGATATTTATAAAGTAAAATAATTAATAGATATAGATTTTATTCTTTTAATTTTTTTTTTCTTTTTTTAAGTATTTTGGATTGAGATATAAATTATGAAAAATTATATTATTAATATAAAAAATAATATTTTATATCGAAAATTTACGTGTGGTAAAATGATAGTATATATACCATATTATATATCTTGTGAATTATGTATAATAAATAAATAGTTGGGGAAACAAACTTATTATTTCTCTCTACAATAGATATATTTACTTTTAACATAATTTTTCTTAAATATTATATTTAAATAATAATTGATAAATATTTTATACAATATATTTTTTAGTTTTTATATTTTAATTTAATATAATAAATATAAATTTGGTAAAATTTATACTTGATAAAAACTTTCTTTTATCATTTAGGTCTGTTCCTTTAAATTAATTTTTTCAAATTTTACAATTTGAACTATGTGTTTTAGTAAAAAATAAATTTTTTTTAATCACAACACATCTCAACAAACATTATTTTAAATCAAATCCAAATCAAATTTTACCAAACTCAACCAAAAGAAACATACCCTATATTTATTTTTTTGCTGTAATAAAAGAATATTTTTGTTTTTTTAATAAAATAATACTATTTTTTTGTACTATTTTTTATTATAAAAAGAAATGATTTTTTTTTTATTTATTTTTGTAAAAATTTATTAACAATTCAGCGTCCATAATTTTCGATGATAAATGGAATATATATAATTTATATTCATACATGTAAAAACGATAAAATGTATATATGTATATATATATATATATGTTGAGTTGATTTATATGTTTGTTTAATCTTACTTATTTTATTGGGTTTAATTGGTAGAGTATTAGATTCGTACGGAAATTTATCCGCACATAGCGCCGACGAATTCCCACATTATAAAAGATTTTTTAAAAAAATTATGATAAAATGTATTCCCTCCGTCTCAATACAATAATCTTATTTACTATTTTTGTTTGTTCCAAAATAATAGTGTTATTTTCATAAATAATCATATCATCGTAAAATTATCTATATTTTTTATTATTATTATACAATTGTCACTACTTTTTACACTAATATATTCACAAAGACAAAAAAATTATTTATCTTTATTTTTTACCTACCATTAATAATATTAATATTTTTTAAATATAGAACAACATTATAATTTTGGAACGAATAGAGTATGTATATATATATAGAGTTGATTGATGAATAAAAAAAAAGAACAAAAAAAAGAAAATCAAAAGACGAAACGGACGTTAATATTGCCATAATTGGGCATTCTCGTAAATAACAGCAAAACCAAGTCCGAAGTTCCAAACGTCGACCTCTGGGGAGCGCGACAGCTAGCCAAAAAGTCCTCCACGCGCGGCGCCCCACGCGCCAAAGACAGCCTCTGATAATTGCGTGTCGCCACGCGAATGGGGACAGGCGCGTGGGCAGTTTGAATGAAGTAGCGCTTTTAACGATTCCGACCACGACGCTTTAACCGAGATGATTGAAACGCGACTTTAACTGACTTATTAACGGCAGCAAACTTGAAAGCGCACTTTTAACGCGAATTTACATAATTACCCCCGACGAGGATCACAGCAGCAAGGGTATTAATGTCATTTCGTACTGGACCAGCGGCGGGGCTGTATACAGACTGACAGTGGTGGTATCAATGGGGAAGGGTGTGGCTGGGGCGACGGAGCTTTTCCCTTTTTTCCCCATTTTGCTTTTGGTAAAGCGGGCAGAGATTTCTTCTCCTTAAACAACCCCACCGAACAGAAATCGACGTTTTTTTTTGAGGAATTTGTATATGAACACTAGCTGCTTCTGGTTGCTGTAAAAGTCTGCGTATCTTCTTCCGATCGGTATTGTGTGAGTTGCATTTTGTTCAATTTGTTTCTTATTTGTGCAAATTTTGGTGCAGCAGGCTCGCTAATGGCGTGTATTTGGTTTCTACTTTGTTAGTTTTCGTTCGCCGTTGTTGCAATTTCATGGTTTCTTTTTCTGTACTCAATGTACTATAGCTATGATGAGATTCGATTTTCACAAAATATGGTTATGAAACCGAATTTTGTTATGCAATTTCGTGAGAAGAAGAACTTGTCTGGAAAAGTTTCGATCCTTTTTTCTTTTTGCATTATTATTACCCTCACTTCCTGTGGTTGTTTTAATAATTATGTTTTGTCGCCTCCATTGATGCCTATGCTCGAAGGAAAGCACTTTTTTGATTTTGAGCATGACAGCCTGTGCAGAACATTATACAATTGTAACACCAACACCTCTACTTATTTGGATATACTTGTAAATGAAAGTATGCAGAAACATTGATCAGATTATGTGTGATTTAATAGAGATTAGATCCAATGATGAGGATCAGTCCGAAGTTCTTACTGTTGTAATTTGGATATACTCGTGAAGGAAAATATATGTAGAAACATTGATCAGATTGTGTGTGATTTAATAGAGATTAGATTGATCCAATGATGAGGATCAGTCCGGAATTCTTATTGTCGTAATTTGGATATACTTGTGAGGGAAAATGTGCAGAAACATTGATCAGATTGTGTGTGATTTAATAGAGATTAGATCGATCCAATGACGAGGATCAGTCCGGAGTTCTTATTGTCGTATTTGGATATACTTGTGAAGGAAAATGTGCAGAAACATTGATCAGATTGTGTGTGATTTACTAGATATTAGATCGATCCAACGACCAGGATCAGTCCAGAGTTCTTATTGTCATAATTTGGATATACTTGTGAGGGAAAATCTGCCGAAGCATTGACCAGATTGTGTGTGATTTAACAGATATTAGATCGAGCAAATGACGAGGATCAGTCCAGAATTCGGAGACTCGGAGGTGCCGGCAGTGTGGACAGTATCAGCTGATGCAAGTTTTCAGTGTAATCAGTTTCCGAAGTACAGGTTAGGGGCCAATAATGAAGTTTTGGATGAGGTCAAGGATGATAACAAGTGTCCGTCGTTGAAGGAAGCTGTTGTTCAAGAAACTAACCAGCTAACCGAACAACACAAGCGTCTATCTGTTCGTGATCTCGCCAGCAAATTCGACAAAAGTTTGGCTGCTGCAGCGAAACTATCCGAGGAGGTCGATTGTTTTAACTTCTAAATTGATGAATCAATGCATATATGGTATCTCAGCTGTATATTGATTTCCTTCTAAGGAGGCTAAATTTGTCGATTTTTCAGGCAAAACTGAAGGAGGTCGCATCTCTGGACGGACATGTGCTTCTGAAGAAACTTCGGGATGCATTGGAATATTTGAAAGGTCGATTAGCGGGACAAAATAAAGAAGTTGTGGAGAAAGCTATTTCAATGGTTGGTTTGTGCTTTTCATTTCTGAATATCAAGTGTCGACGTCACTTTTGTAAATTAATTAGTTTTGTTGGATCCCTATGATCTATCCGTACTAATTAACCATGCCATTAACTACATTATTTGAATCGTAATTAGTTCTCTCTAATGCAAACAAACAAAAACGAAGCGTAGATGGAGTAAGTATAATGAAGTAAGCATGCCTCATATATGCATTTTTCACGTTTTTAAAGTGTCGAATCTCTTTTCCATGTGAAGTATTGAATATAAATGTTAGTGAGTTTCTTTTCACGGTGTTCATTTTCCGGACAAAATCTTGTACAACATTGTTGTGATTAATGACTTTGTTTGACTAGGTGGAAGCTTTGGCCGTCAAACTGACTCAAAAAGAAGGAGAGCTGATTCAGGAAAAGTTCGAAGTGAAGAAACTTGTGAACTTTCTTAAGCAGGTTTTACGATTTTCCTCTTTTGTCGGTACACATCGTGCGCAATCATATCTTTAAGCACAAGAGTACGCCATTTTTTTTTTCTTGTAGGCTTCGGAAGATGCCAAGAAATTGGTGAATCAAGAGAAATCTTTTGCATGTGCTGAAATCGAGAGCGCACGAGCTGTCGTACAAAGGATTGGCGAGGCCCTTGAGGAACAAGAAAGAAACCAAAGCCCCGGGAAGCGGCAGGTAACTTCGATTCTTTCTAAGTGCAAAGTTTTTTGAATAAAATTAGTCACTTAGTCGATCTTTTGTTTATCTATGATGGAAAATGGTGATCGAGTTTTCGATATTGATAGGAACTTGAAGGACTAATCGAAGAGGTCCAACAGGCCAGAAGAATCAAACTAATGCATCAGCCTAGAAAGGTTTGTCGAAATAGCCAAAAGTTGCATATCTCCCAGCACGTTATATTTCTTAAATCACGTCAGTATATGTTATGTATAGGTTGCGGACATGGAAAACGAACTTCAAGAGCTGCGGCTTCAGATTAGAGAGAAGTGTGTAATTTCGGTGAATCTTCAAAACGAGGTTAGCTGTTCATCATGTGACCTTTTCTCAGTAAAAATAGTTTATTTCGAGGCTTACCATTTTATGTTTCGCAGCTGGAAATGAGTATGAAATCCGAGGAAAACATTCGCGGGCTCTACAAATTAATTGGTTCCGAGAAGTTAGGTTCTATTTTACGGATTCAGCCTTGTTCAGACAAAGCAGTAGAGCTTTCAAAATGTTCGATCCAATGGTTCCGTTTGTCATCTCAATGCAGCCGTCGGGAGCCTATTTTAGGTACATTTCGGGCTCTGAAAATTCCGATATGTTTCGTTATCCCATGATTGAAATGTTGAAATTTATCAGGAATTAAACCCTAAATCCAGTACTTGTCGTGTTGAGATAATTGAGATATAAAAATAAAGTAATTAAATCGAACCTGATTCCATTAGCTTCGTTAGATTCGAATTGGCAAACAATGGAGGATTTTGTGTTCTTGAAGCCAATGACGCAACCCTTTTGAAAAAATCGTGAGGGCGTTACTGAAGTAATTGTTTTTTTTTTTTTTTTTTTTTTTTTTTTTTGTTTCTAGACATGAGATCACAACTCTAATTTATATCCCTTGTTATTAATTGGCTTCTTCACCCAATTAATAAGTTACCGAGTTTTCGTAGTTACTAAATACTTTGAGTCCAATAAATTTATTAGATCACTTAGTATAGGCTTAATCTGATTGATAGCTAAATAGTTACATTTAATCCACAATTGAATTTTTAATCAAATACGAAAACTAATCACTAATGCAATCTTTCACCAGGTGCCAACAAGTGCGTCTACGCCCCGGAGCCAATCGACGTAGGGCGAGTTCTACAGGTCGAGGTAGTGGCAAATGGCCATAAAATCACGATCACTGCCGATAGCCAAATCCAGCAAGGTTAGTGATCGATCGTCGTCTAATTCATAATATACGAAACGAAATTAATCTCCACTTTTTCATGTCCCCCCGACAGCCTCAGACTTCGCGAGCTATGCCGAGGCGCTTCTGAGAAAACCGAGCATCGACTTCAGCGTATGCTGCCTTAAATAGCTAAATCGTGATCGTCATTTCGAGCAACTCATTTTTTATTTTATTTTTTCGAATGATCCTTACATTGCAGGTCTGTATCTTCCAAATGAACGGCCGGAACTATTCTTCCCAATCTACGCACGTGTTCCACATAGGGAAAACGAGGATAAAACTTAGCCGAGGATGGATCACAAAGGCCCGAGAATCGTACTCGAAGTCTATGCTGGTATGTGCGATGGCCATAACCGGCGTTTACGTACGTAGAATCATGATATTTTAATGATGCTCGACTATTTGTTTCGCAGCTGTGTGGATTCAGAGGCGGCGGCAACTCCGCAGCCAAGTCGCTGTTTTGGCAAGCCCGGAAAGGACAGTCGTTCGTGCTTGTGTTCGACTCGGAACGGGATCGAAATGCAGCGTTGATCCTCGCCCGGAAGTACGCATCGGATTGCAATGTGAGTATAGATCACATTACTTCTACTTCTCGTCGTCATTTGTGTCGAGTTGAGTATTTCTTTTTAGACTCGGCTTAAACTTTTATTGAACTGAGTTCAAGCTCACTATAAATAGTTAAGGCTTCTTTTAGATAGAAGTTTTAAAGTTTTAGAAAATTTTAAAAATTGTAAAAATTTGAATGTTCGACAGAATGTTTATAGAAAAAAAAAAAAAAAAAAAGTGTTTATTTTTATTCTTTCATATAGATGAATAGTTCCAATGTCCAATCAAATTGAACTTATGAGAGGTTATAGTACTCATTGAAGCAATAGGCAAATAATGCATAGTTTCAATTAACACAAGACATGTTGTGTTAATTGAAATCTATTGTGTTGATAGTCGGGGCGGATCTAAATGGGGGTTAGGCGTTGCCGGTAAAAAATAATAAAATTATGTATTTTTTTTATTAATTTGCCTTCTTACCTTCCTAATTTTTTATTTTATAGTGTAAAAACTTATAAAAAGTTTGTCCATTCTTACATTTACATTTTTAGTCTTTAAATTTTATTTTTTTACAATAAAAAAAATGTTGAATTTTTTGTAGTTTTATTGAAATTCTTTCTAAAATATTTAAATTTTCCCAATTTTTTTGTTTTTCTTATACCCGGCTGTGTTAGAAAAATGAAAAAAGATTGCATTGAATCGATAAAAAAATATTGATATTTTGTCCCGGGGAATTTTACGGCCGGTTCCGTCACCGTTGATGATTCATACTTATATATATATGTGTGTGTGCACAATGAGTTTATTATCTTTATCTTATCGAACTTTTTCGTGTAAAGCCTCCTCGACTCAATAATTCTTAATGCGGCGACAGGTGTTGCTCGCGGGTCCGGACGACGATGCTCTGGCGTAAAGATGGATATTCCCCATTTTGGTTTCGGTTTCGATTTCGACTTCAATATCAGCATATTTTTCTTAGCTGGAGAGTGATGGGATTTGTGTGTATGTAAATGTTGGAATCCGAATTGGGAGAGAAGGTTGTGAAAGTGTAAGTGTTGTGTGTATTATTGTTGTGTGATGAATTCTGTAGGCATGGTTTTTGGTTTGCCGAAATTCTTCAACTTTTTATTTTTTTATTTTTTTTTTGTGCGAATTCGAAGCTGTTATTCTTCAAGTACGTTCTAATAAATTTTCAGTCGAATTTAATAGTATAGTAGCTTGCAGCTTTGCAAGTTAAGCCTCGTAAGACAATAACTATTGGGTACAAGTAACTATTGGGTGCAAATTTAAGTCTCATATGCTTAAGTTTTATATAGGAAGATTTCAAGAAAAAAATTTATATTTTATAAGTCCAACATAAATTTTACTAGTATGAAACTAATGGCGCTGGGTTGGATGATTTGACGTCGGTAAATTTAGTGCCATTTTTTGGCGTTGCACTGTAGCAACGTAAAAAAATGACGTTGCTTCCTTATTTATTTTTATTTTTATAATTTTTAAAATTTAAAATTTTAATTTTTAAATTTATTATTTATTTTTCTAAATTTTTTAAAAAGATATTTTAAATTATAAAAATAATTAAAAAAAAAAGTTTAAAATAATAAGAAAAATTGAATATTTGAAGAATAATAGTGAAAAATAGAGCTATGGTTGGAGTAAAATTACTGTAGCAACTGCATATTTAGAGTTAAAACTGTATAAATGGAGTTGATGGGTTGGAGATGACCTAAATTCATTGAAGTTCTTTGCGGTAATACTCTCTTCGTCATATTCAAAGGTTATTATTTTCTATTTTCGTGTCTCAAAACATAAGTTACTATTTTTTAATTTAATAATTGTACTAACTATTAACATAATAAATATGCTTCCAATTTATAATATATTACACAAATGTCATTACTTTTATAATTTTATATTACACAATACTAATAGAGGTATTTTTGTATTTTTTTTAACTATAACTCAATATAATAATAATATTGAAAGATCTATATGCAAAAAAGTAAACGACAATTTTGCAATGAGACAAAGAGAGTATAAAAATAAAAATATTTTTCCATCCAACTATTTTTAATTGTAAATACAAACGTCTAATTACATAAAGTGTTTTTTTTTTTTTTCTATTTTTAGTGACATGGGAATCCACCGCCACTCCTCGAAAGTGCGCACTAGGTAAACGTTTAATTACATAAAGTGTTTTATAAATATAAAATGTGGAATTTTTTAAATAATCTTATTTGAACAAAATAAATAAATTAATATATAATTTTATTCGAAAATGTTATTTATCAATAATAATATATATATATTTTTTATCTGTATAACAATTAAACTAGCATAACTAAGTGAGTATTTTACAATCAATGTCAATTTTGAAGGAATAAATATTTTTTTGTACCTATTTTAATTTAACACAAAATTTCAAACAAAAAATTGACTTGACATAAAAGATAACATAGAATGTGTTATATTGAATAATGTGTTGTTAACATTTCATTACAAAAGAGATTACATAGAATAAGTTATATGGAATAATGTTTTGTTTGAGTTATACAGTGTATTATGATGTATAATTTGCTTATTGCGTTAAAATCACAATATATTGTGTTATAATAAATTATACAATATGTTATGCAATATTTTGTAATATTAATTTTTATATAATCTATTTATTGCATTGAAATTGAAATGTATTGTGTTGCATTTAATTATAGTATATCATCAAAATATGTATTATATATTATACTCCTTCCTTCCCATAACAAAGTATCTATTTTTATATTTTAGTCCATCCCATAACAAAGTATCCATTTTCTTTTTTAGTAATTGTACTATCTACCTAACATTACAAATACCCTTACAGCTTACAATATATTACACAAATGTCATTATCTTTATATCACACATACTAACAAGATTATTTTAGTCATTTCTACTTTACTCCTACTATATCTCAATATAATACCAATATTTTTAAAACTGCGTGCAAAAAGTAAATTGATACTTCTTTTTGGGACGGAGAGAGTATTAAGATATGACGTGAGATATATGTTATTTTATTTATAAACATGTGTTGCCCATCCTATACATTTGTGATAAAATCACAAATACAAGTGATTCATAATACTGGTTGTCTCACTTTAAAGTACTTTTTTTAATTTTAATAATAAATTAAAAAATAGTACTTCCTCCGTCTCATCGAAATTGAATCATTTGATTAAGGGGACGATATTTAAGGTGATGATATTTAATTAGTTAATAATAATTAGTTATGATATTATTATATTATTTTTTTGTATAATTAATAATATTTATATTTTAAAAGTAAATTTAATATATATGATTAAAAAAAATTAAAATATATGTTTAAATATTTAAAAATTATATAGCAATTAAAAAATATATGCAATATGAATATCATTTTGTAGAGAATAAAATTCTCTATAATACAAGTAAATAAAAAAATGACGAGAGAGAGTTAGAAATAAAGTGGTTTTGAGTGATCCTACGTCATTTATGATGTTGTATGTTATGTAGTTAATTAAGTTGATTTATATTTGTTAAATATGTTTTGATTTAATATTTTTTACCAAAAATAGAAAGGTGTAAATTGTTATGGGATAGACAAAAATGAAAATAGTATCAATTATGGTGGGACGGAAGGAGTAGTAATTTTTTATTAATTAATAAAAATATGTAAAATATTTTTAATATGTATTTTTTATATTTTATATATAAATTAATTATATATATAATGATACATATTTATAATTTATATAAAAATAAAAAACTATTTTAATATTATTATATAATTATTTTTACTATAATAAAACATAAAAAATTTTATTTTAATGTACCAAAATGATAAAAGTAGTCTTAGTTGGAAGTACTCTTTCCCTCGTTTTAAAGTATTATTTTATTATTTTTGCCAATCTCATTTTAAAATATCTTTCATATTTTTTAAAAAATAATCATATTTAATAATAAAATATCTTTAGTTTTTACTTAAATTACAAATATATTATTACAAATATAATTATTTTATACACAAAGTAAAATAACCAAAATATCAAAACCTCTTAAATATTTTAATTGACCAATAAAACACTAAGGTTGTGTTCTTTTGTGAATTTTACAATAAATTTTTACTATTCAAATTTTATTTCCCTCCAAAAATATTATATCAAACAATTATTCTTTTTATTTTATATTTTATATTATACCAAAACATCGCATCAATATTTATTTATACCATATCATATAACTATTCAAATTCAACTTTTTACTATTAAAAAATACAAACAAAAAAATTAAAACCCACAGACAAACACACCCCTTATTTCCTAATCATTTACAAAATCCCTAAGATTGTGTTCTTTTGTGATTTTTACCACAGATTTTTATTATTCAGATTTTTCTTTATCTCTAAAAATATCTCGTCAAATAATTTCTTTTTTTTTTTTTTATATTATATTACAAATTTACTTTACAATTAAAGCATGGACAACTTCCACATATCTTTCTAATTCTATATTCATATTCTTATTTATTTCCTATACATTAATTTTATCTTTTTTACTCCCTATTTTTACAAATTTATTATTTTTCACTCCCTATTCATCTAAAAATCCTATAGTACCCTTATTTAATTTCTTTATCATTTTTTTAACTAAACTGTAATTTTTATAATTTATTTTTATTTTTTATTAATTTAAATAAAAATAAAAGATTACCAAAAAAAAAAATTGACAGGAAATAATAATAATAATAATAATAATAATAATAAATATAAATATATAATACAAAAGTACTCATAATTCTTACATTATAATTATATAAAATATTTATAAGAAAAATATTGATTTCAATTAAATATAAGTATGAGTAATATAATAAACAAGCTGAAAATAATGAATTTTTATTTTAAAAAAATATTTTTTCTATTATAAAATCTTGCAAAAATAATTGAGCCATAACTAATAGATTCTATATATAAAAATTTATTTATATAAAATAAATAGATTTGTTCCATATATAAACAAATAATATATTTAAATATTATTTAGCTAAGGGTTTTGAATTATATTTGGTGGATAAAAATATGAATAAAAAGTTATTTAGAGGATAAAATGGGTAAAAATATGTAATAATTACAAACATGGAGTAGTATGGAATAAATAAGGAGGTAAATGAAAAAATTATATGAATAGGGATTGATAAGAAAAATGATTTAGAAATTAGGGATTTAAATAGAATTAACACTTAAAATATTGCATTAATCTTTATTTATATTTCATCAACCAACTGTTCAAATTCAACTTTTTATTATTAAAAAGTACAAAACAAAATATTAAATCTTCAAACAAACACACCTATTATTTCCTAATCATTTACAAAATAAGGGCCTTTTGAAATGGACCGAAGGGAGTATAAATGAAAATGTGATTCCTACGGGGGCTTTTGCGCAATTTCGGTAAAATCCTCGTCTTCCTTTCTTCCTCTCTTTGAGCTGTCTTGCTTACAAAGAAAACTCCCCAAATACTATAATTTAAAATTATAAATTGATTATAAAAACAGAAAGGAGAAGAAGGCGAAGCAGACTGAGAAGAACTTCGAAGCACACCGCAGCTTCAATCGGAGAGACTCTCGAGAGACGGTAAAGAGGTACGAAAAATGAGCAGCATAGGCACCGGCTACGATCTGTCCGTCACCACATTCTCGCCGGACGGCCGCGTTTTCCAGATCGAGTACGCCGCCAAAGCCGTCGACAACAGCGGAACCGTCGTTGCAATCAGATGCAAAGACGGCGTTGTTATGGTATTCACAGCTCTTGATTTGATTTGATTTTTTTTTTTTTTATTCGTTAGGGTTTTAATTGGGGGTTTCGTTTGCTATTATCTGTTTTCTTTCGCTGTTTCAGGGAGTTGAAAAACTGATTGCTTCGAAAATGATGTTGCCTGGATCCAATCGTAGAATCCACGCCGTTCATCGTCATTCCGGAATGGTGTGTGCACATCCATTAATTCTTTCAATTTCTTCCTCCATCCATTTCATTCGATTCGGACAATTTAACGTTGGTGTTAAAGCTAATTCGACTGTTTCCTTGTTGATTTTGCAGGCTGTCGCTGGATTAGCTGCGGATGGCCGGCAGATTGTTGCTAGGGCAAAATCTGAAGCAACTAATTACGAACGGTAGTTCGTTATTATTATGTTTTTGCTTCATTTTTCTTGAATTTCTTTAGTATGATTATAAATTTTTGTTCATGTAGTGTGAGGAGTTTGATTTTGGTAATTACTTTGCTAATCTGATTGCAGTGTTTATGGTGAGCCAATTCCTGTGAAAGAGCTTGCAGAGCGTGTAGCTAGTTATGTGCATCTGTGCACACTATATTGGTGGCTGAGGTTTGATTTCGATATTGCTTAAGATGTTTTATTGACGGGATTAGCATCTGTTATTTAACTGCAAGAGGAATCGCACTCTGTATTTTTCAGGCCTTTCGGCTGTGGAGTGATTCTGGGTGGTTACGACAGAGATGGGCCGCAGTTGTATATGGTCGAACCATCTGGTGTTTCTTATGTGAGTTTTGTTAAGTGTTAATGGAAACTAATATGTTTTTTTTCGTTCTGGTCTATGAATTGCTTGTAACTATTTCTTGGTTTTTGATGCAGAGATACTTTGGTGCTGCTATAGGGAAAGGGAGGCAAGCTGCAAAAACGTAAAATATTATGCTTCATTTATCTACCTTTCGAAAATGATTCATAAGACTTAAGAATATGAAACAGAACGTACAATATATATTAATTTTCTCGTATGTGCCTGCCCGCCTATTAGTATTGTGATAGCTCTTGCTGCTCTTCTCATTTAAGTTGTTTGCGACATTTCTAGTCGTGGCTCTATGTAATATTGGGGTATTACTAGTGTTCGTAACTGTTTACGCCCTTACATTAATTTAATTTATCTTTTTTGTTGATGAATTTTGTTATATTTCAGAACAGCTACTACATCTTTTGAAGATTCCTTATACCATGTACTTGTTTATCCATTTTTTATTTACACTGAGTGATTAATTAATTTTTGTTTTTGACAGAGAAATTGAGAAATTGAAGCTTTCTGATATGACATGCCGACAAGGGATTATTGAGGTGGCTAAAATGTGAGTTCTATCTTTTCATTTACATAAACGTGCTTCTTAAGGAGCTTGATTTGTATTCAATTGTTCTAGTGGTATAGATCATGTATTGACTTTCCAAACAGCTGGATTATCTGGAATTAAGGCGAGCTAAAACTATGAAAGTTCTACTGCTCTCTGTTCTTTCGATCATGCATTGTAGACATGCTGAATATATATAGGAATGTCACTACATATTTGCTGGGCTATAGGATTAGGATCTCTTATAATGAACATAAGATAATAGAATTGTAAAATTGGCATTTCTTTTCTTCTATATAATGTCCTCAATCAGTGATAAACACTTCGCAATTAAGTTCGAAGTTAACAACTATTTATGTTTCCAAGAAGCAATCTTTTATGCTGCATCAATCTTTCTTTCTTCTGTTTTTTTTTTTTTTTTCCATTTCTTGTGTTTTCGGATCATCATGACGGCATTTTTTGAATATTCTCTATCATTGTTCTGAGTTAGAAATATCAATTCTACTCATATTCGATCAGTCTTCTTGATTAATTTACCTATAAGCAATACTGACCTGTTAAGCTCATATAAAGTAACTTAACTGCCAAATTATTGCTTGCTTTAAGTTGGTGAATAATTCGATTTTTGCAAAATAGAGTTGCAAAGCAGCCAACGTAATGTTGAAATGTTACATGGCATATTGATTTTTATTTTTACCATTCGGTATTGCTTATTCTGGAAGTGTAATTTAATTTTATTGTAAGCTGATATTTTACTTTTGTGTAGCCTTGATTTGTTGTATCCTTTGGACCTTTTGTTGGTATCTTGTTGTGGCTTTTCGATTTTTGATGCATTGCCTGCATAACCAGTATTTATGGAGTGCATGATGAGGCGAAGGACAAGGCCTTTGAATTGGAACTGAGCTGGGTTTGTGACGAGTCAAACCGTCAGCACCAAAAGGTAAAACTAACAACTACATGCACTCTTTTTGAAATCTAGTGTCGTACTTTCTTTCACAAGTGGATTTAAGTAGAAATTACAGGTGTGCTGCTTAAAATGATATCAATATTTTGAGTCGAATCTCTGAAAATATTATACAAACTGTTGGCTGTGCCATTGTTGTTAATAGAATGTATGGGTGTGTTTGTTGGTGGGGTTTTGGTTTTGGATAATAAAAATTTTGAATTGAAATAAGTATTTGATGTGATAAATAAGTATTCATGTGATGTTTTGAATATTAAATTATATTTTAGTGTAATATAATAAATGAAAAATAGGTGGTTGATTTTGATGATTTTAGGGGATTTTATTTTTTTGGAATAATAAAATCAAAACCAAAACCTTACAAACAAACACACCCTAAATGTTTTGTTATGTTGGGTTTTGATTTCCTTGGAGCTTGAGTTGTTCGCTCATGTGGTTCTATATTAGTTATATGCTAATTAGAAAACACAATAGTTATTTTGGAGCGATGGATCATTCCTAATATCAAGCTTCTTTTTTTTTTCCTTTTTTTTTTTTTTTGTTTTTACATGTGACATTGTCTTCACCCATATATGTTATGGTCAAATTTACATTTGTAGAGTTGGATCTTGCAATGTTTGAATTTTAGAGGTGTGTTTGTTTGTGGATTTAGGAGTTGGATTTTTTATTTTGAATCTGAATAATTTATTGCTATGTAAATAGGTATTTTGTTTGATAATTTATGTACCTTATGTATGAGGGGTTACGGTACATTTGGAAAAATCAGCATGGTGTTGATTTTCATTTTCCTAATTAGCACAGATAAAATATACAGATAACACATGTCTTTGTTTCAAAAAACACATGCTGTGTGCTTCGTGAAATAAACACATGTGTTGTTTATACCTACAAAGTGTCATGTGAGACTATCTTATGTGCTGCATTTTTATTACATTAATATATACGAGATGTTGTTTGTAGTAATATCGTGTGATTTCTGCTAGCACACGACCGTAACTGCTACTTCTTATGTACTGAATTCAATTATAATGTGCGCTGTATAGACTATTGTCACGTGTTGTCGGTTATAAGATGCATTCTATTATATTAATATATACCATGCACTATATATACGCGGTTATATCACCATATATATATATATTATATATTATATTCATTTATATCCATCTCATCCGTCCGCAGGTCCCGGAGAATCTATTAGAGGAAGCAAAGTCAGCAGCTAAAGCAGCACTCGAAGAAATGGATGCAGATTAGTCTCTTTTACCCTCCTCTACTGTTATATTTACTTTCCGGTTTTACTCTATGAACATTTTTCATTGAATCCCGATGTGATAACTTGATGAAAAGACATGTCCCGTGTTAGTTTGCTTGCTTGCTGGTTCATCTTTAACTTTGCGAACTTGGATTTCATTGTCCTATCTAATTATTACAATGTCGGGCGTCCGAGGAGATATTCGATGCTAGAATGGGATCTCAAATTTTATTTTGGATTTGAATTCACCTGGAAATGAAATCCTTTTAGCAATCATTTGTTAGAAATGAAATCCACTCTTAGTTTATTGTCGGGGGTGAGTATTGGTCGGTTCAAATAAAAAAAATTCTAATTTTTTTTTTTTGGCTCGGACTATTTGGTTTAGGTGGTTCGGTTCAGTCCAAAATCGAATTTATAAATTTTGGTTTCGGTTGGGTTATGGTTTTCAATTTTTAATTATAGTTAACCGAAAAAACTTAATTTTTAAAAATAATAAAATTTATATATTAATGAATAAAAATATACTCTCCCAATCATTTAACAATCTATCTATTTTTTTTATTTTGGCCCGTTTTTCATAACAAAGTATTTTTTTTTAAGTAAGTGTATTATCTACCTAATATTACAATATATTACCTGTCATTACCTTTATATCATACAATTAATTTAGTTTTTTAATTTTTATTTATATTTTATTTTAATATAATATTAATATGTTTAAAATTTCGTGCAAGAATATATAGATATAGGACGGAGGGAGTATATTATAATCTAAGAGTATTTCTATTTGATTTTGTATATGTAAAATATATATTAATAAATGAAACATCGGTTTCTTCGGTTTTAAATTGAACTTGGTTCGGTTTATTTGGTTTTGAAAAATTTTGGTTCGGTTTCAGTTTTTAGTAACAAAAATCCAATCAAAATTGAAGGTTGGGTGCGGCTTTGGACAATCTTTTTATGTGGCATATCTTCTCTATGCAAAATGTTTTTATGAAAATTTGGGCGTGTTTGTTTGTGCTTTAGATGATGCTCATTTTGGATTAGAAATTTTTTGAATGAAAAATAAGTTTAAAATGTAATGTTTTTAATTTGAATTTTGCCTTAAATAATATTCTAATATAATATTTGGTGGTAATTAATAATGTATTTTTATTGATAATAATACGGCCAAAACAGTTGAGTTTTGGTTTGAAATTCAAAACATGCACTCTTAGGGTTCCATTTAAATATCAAAGTTGGATATTTTTACTAGGATGTCAAATAGGTTGGGTTAGCTCGGATCCGTTTTCATGGGGCGGTTTTTGGTCTAAAAAATATGTTTCGGAGCGGATTGTGGATTTTAAAATTTAAACTTGACCGGGTTTCATGGTGGATTATGAATTTTACTAAAAATACATTCTACTTTGGATATTACGGGCGGATATTTTAATAATTATTAAAATTAATATATATATATTTATATAATATATATTATATTACATATCTATTTGAAAAAAAATAAAATATAAATTAGAATTCTAATTTATAAATCAAATTTGTATTGAATTTTGTTTTTTTGTGTTTTTTTTTCAATTTTCTTTCATAATCATGACTACTATCGTCCCTGTTACTGCGGACCACTGTTAATATATGATTGTTGTTGACTTTGGGGTCTAATATTTTATAGCGGGGCGGATATCGGACCATACAAAATCTGTTCCGAACCCGCCCCGTTGACATCCCTAATTTTTACTACCGAGTGTTATTTAACAACAATATATGGGATCATTTCTGCACCTTTGCTGATCCAATAAAACTTAATTATGTTAATATAATTAATTAAATAATATAATTAAAGTAATTATATAAATTGAATTTGAGGTGGTGTTTTTATTCACTTACATATATATATATATATTTTATTATCGACGGGAATTTTTGTATTTCATAAAAAAATATTTTAAACAAAACTACATAACAAACAAATCTTATATATTTAAAATTATATCAATTGTATTTTAATCTAAAAATATCATTTTAAATAAATATTTTCTATATTTCTTATATATAATGTACTTTATTAAGAGCATTAAGAATTGAATAATTATGTTTATTTATTTATTATTATTTGAAATTGGTTCATCTTTTTTATTCCCGTCCAAATTGGAAAGTTCGAAGCGGAGGAAATGTTAATATATTTTAATTATTTTGAATTACTATTATAATTTTAATATTATTTTTGTCATTCAAATTTATACATAATTTTCTTTTTAGTTTGTCAGAAAAATATTTGTTATTTTCAGTAAATATTATTTTTTATATTTTTTTACTATAAATAATAATAATTATTATTCACTTTTATTAAATTTGTGCTTAAATATTTGAGTATATAATTGAATATTGGAGGAAATATTCTATTTAAGATTTAATTAAACTAATCCAATAATTTTTGTTTGATGTTCGGTTGAAAAATTTTGTTACTCCCTCCGTCCCGGGTGACGTTTTCTTTTTGCAAGTACATTTTTTAATATTAGTATTATATTGGATTATAGTAAAAAAAAGACAAAAATACCTCTATTAGTATGGTATAATATAAAAGTAATGATATTTATATAATATATTGTAAGTTGAAAGGGTATTTATCATGTTAAGTAGGTAGTACAATTACTAAATTAAGATATGATAATCTTGTTTTGAAACGGACGAAAAATGAAAAATGGTAACCTTTCAATGGAACGAAAGAAGTATTTTATTTTAAAATTCTATGAATTGAATTTAACTACAAGTCTACAAACATTCTATTCCAATATATTATTGATAAAATACAAAACTAAAATATTTAAATTGATAATAAATAACTCCCTCAGTCCCATATTTATATATTTATTTATTTTCTGCATATATTTATTTATCTTTTGTACAAAATTTTAGGAATATTAGCATTACATTAAAATATAGTAGAAATAGAAATAAAAAAAAAGAAACTAAATTAAGTATTGTAGAATATAAATGTAATATCAATTGTGTAATATATTGTAGTATTTATAATGTTAAATAGACTGTACAATTATTTTAAAAAAATAAAAAAAAAATGAAAAAAATAGATAGATGGGTAAAGGACATAGGAAGTAGATCAATATTAAATTAGATTACATATTTCAATATTTTTATTTAGATAATATAATAAGCTTTATTTAGTTTTTTAATTATATAAACAAATAGTATATGATTATAAAACAAGGTATTCATATAAAATTTTAAATTAAATTATTTTCAATCTAATTGTATTTTTCATCGAACTAACCAAATAGAAATTCGGATCTAAATTAATCAATTCATGTTACTTTTTTATTGTAAAATTTATTTATTTTCATTCCTCAGCCATTTCCAATTAAATACAAAAACATTACCTTTACTCCTTATTTTTCACTCCATAAACAATTAAATCCAAACTACCAAACTATGGGTGTGTTTAGTTACCGAATTTGATCGCTGATTTTACTATTTCAACTTTCTTATCTCTAAAAAAAAAAAATTATCAAATCAAACACTTATTTTTTTATTTATTTTATTACACTAAAATCTAATTTTAGTGTCAAAACATCACATCATTACATCAAACAGATTTTTACTATTTGGATTCTTTTTTCCATCCAAAAATATCACATCAAACAATTACTTCTCTTTTTTTTTTTTTTTTTTTTTATATATTATACTACAAATTTATTTTACATTCAAAACATCACGTCTTATATCACATCAATCAACTATTCAAATTCAACTATTTACTATTCAAAAATCCAAACCCAAAAACTAGAACCCACAGACAAATACATGTCCGCCCTCAAAACAACACATGGCAAAAACATGAAATGATCGAACATCTTAGACTGTTTACCAAACACACATTTCTGTAATGTCGTAAACTCATCCAATCTTTCATCGTGAAGAAAACAAGTTTCGATGCATTTGAAAGTACGATTATTATTGTTATTACCCAAACAAGTTATTTATAACGAAATGCAAGTTAAAGGGATGAGAAAGCACACCGTGACCATCCATAGGAGCATCGATGATCAAGATCAGCGCAGAATGATTTCATTCCTCGGCAACGACCACAGAGATTTCTCCTTTGTCCAGCGCGTCATAGAATGCTCTGACCCTCCGCTGCTCGTTCCAGTGATGCATTTTCCATAAACTTCCAGCAGCAATGCCGAGTGCGATTCCAATTGCAATCTCCTTCACCACACTTGGTCCTTTCAGAGTGGCGTGAGCGATTCTTGGGCCCGACATATTAGCTTATAAAATGATACAGTCCCTGCAAGCGATGTCAAAATAAGATTATGTGCGCACGTGCACTAATTATTTATAAGTAAAGGAGATTGAGGTCTAAATTAAAATAGTGAGAATGTAAGGATGTATACACATAGAAATTGTTTTTGTTATAATCTTGATCGTCATAGCAAAAGCGGGAAAATGCTGGGGAAACAAATTTTCTCGATAACTGTTATATCTTTGTACAATTTACAGGAAATTAGTTCACGAGTAGTACCACAATAGCAATGATAATACTAGTCAATAATGAATTTCTATATGAATTGTCGTATAGTATTTTAATCCATGGTGCGATTTTGTTGAGTAAACCTCGCCATGGATTGAGGATTTATAAGCTCAAATAGTTGCAATGTGTAGCAAACTACAAATATCAAAGCATTTGAATAAATTATAAAACCAAATTTTATGTGTTTCTTTGGCTTTTCTTCCGAGTTTTTTACTATTTTGACTATGCATTTTCAGTATTTTTTTTCTGCTCACAAAACAAAAACAAAACATCAGTATTATTTAAATGCAAAACCCAAAGCAAATCTTTCCAATCCAAACCAAAAGAAGCTTTCACACAATTGACTTGATTTCTAAATTCTAAGCACAAATTGCCAAAGTAAGTAACACGAAAAATCAATAAGATACATAAATTTTTAAAATCCTCAAAATGAACGGAAATCAGAAACTTTGGTCATAAAACAAACACCAGTATCCAACTGCCTCGAATTCTAACTTATCACACCGAAATAATTTATCCCTGCCCCAACCACATTCTTGTTTCCCTTTCTCTTTCCCTCTTACTATACCGATTACCAAAGATGCTAAAACCAAAAGCACTAGACCAAAAAGATCAATTCTAATAGCACAAATCAACAGCTTCCAGCAATTTGTGATACGCGTGAAATATCGACGACAAATCTCACCAAAGAACACAACTCACACAGTTTGATAGCATGAAATAGAAGCATTCAGTAAATTCAGCATAACTTTTGGCTTACAAATGTTCGAATGAAGTTAATATCACATTGAGGATATTACATAAAGCACAGAAATTGTATAGAATAAACACTACACAATTGTATTCATATAACTTTCATTCTTAATACATCACCTAAAAATGAAATTTTCATGAAAACGCAATAATCCAAAGTTATCAAGATCTGCAGCGCTGTACAGAACCCCAAAGCCTTTCAGTTAATTGCTAAAACGCCGATTTTTTTTCTTCCATTTTAAGTGACTGTTCCAGATTCAGACCTTTTTTTTTTTCACTGATTTATACGACTCACTGGTTTTTTGCAGCAAAAATTTAACACACAGAGGAACAGCCAAATCGATTTGGTACAAACTCCGCATCGAATAACACGTTTCGTTATTTGCAGTGAGGCAAACACGAACACTATACAAATGGATTCATTTCGGATTGGAATTTCCATTAAATGAAAAAATTAAAAACCAAGCGAACACCAATTGCATCTGAAACAAACAAATCCAAAACGAAACGATATCCGCATACCGATATATGAAAAAGCTCAGACCGAAGCCGCAACAACAATTAGATCCGCAAAACCTGTAAACAAAAATTGGAAAACAATAACACGGTCCGCAAGCTACCGCAGAAATTCGATCCAACGGATTGAGAGAAAGAGAGGAACTTACCCTAAACGAGGAATTGGGCGCAGCAGACGACGACAGAACAATACATACACAAGGTTAAATCAACGACGATGAAACGCTGTCGTTTTGACCTCAACGCCGCGTCTATTTGTAGTCAAATTCCGGTTTTGGTAGTCCAAACGGTTTTTAAGAGTGAAAATTAATACTCCTTCCGTCAGCCTAGGAATTATACGTATTTTTATTTTGGAATGTCTAATTATAAACTAAATATTTTATTAAATATCTCATTTTCTTTCGCAAATATTCTTACTTTACATCACATCATTACTTTTACACGGAAAAAATAAAGGCAAAAATATCATTTTATTACTTTTAACTACCCACTATAATTAAAATACTATTATTTTTTAAACACTGCGCCAAAAATAAATGTTTACTTTGTGTGTGGACGGAGGGAGTATTAGTTTCAATTAAATCTATATATTTTTTTTTTTTTGGTCTCATTTCAAAATTAATCTCGTACAAAAAAGAAAATATTATTTTTGGTTTCACCTATAAAATTTCAATAAAATATATTGACGTGGATTCAACGAAGGTAACAATTGCATATAATTTGGAACGAACATGATCATGTTAACTATAGCAAGGACGTATTATTTTAATAAATAAAAAAAATAATTTAAATTTAAATAATACTAAAAAATTTCAAACTCACGCCCGGTATCATATAAAAGGCTGTGGATCAAGCCTAAATATGAATTTATTGCAAAGCCTAATTTTGGGCTAAGTCGGAGTGGACTAACCCAGTCTATTAAGGGTGTGTTTGTTGGGGGATTTTTCCCCAAATCCATTATTCATCTAATTTCTTTTTTTTTTTTTTAAAAAAAAGTATCGAATCAAATATTTATTTTTTATTTTATATTAAAAATTAATTTTACATTCAAAACATTACATCGACACTTATTTATATCACATTATACAACTATTTCAATTCAAAATTTTTACTATTTAAATCCCAATTTAGAATCCAAACTCCCAAACAAACATACCAACATTAGATTTGAAAATAAAATAAAAATGTGTTTAATATATAATAATGAAATAAATATATTAGTAACAGATGAATGAACTATAATTTTTTTATATACTATTTTAATAAAAATAAATATTTAATATAATATTTAAGGAAAAAATCTCTATAAAATAAGTACGCACTGATTACACCCGGTCCGACCTAATATTTTTATTTATAGAGTATATAATATGTTAAATAAAAATGTGCTATCGGTTTTTATTTGTAGTATAGGATATATGACTAGTCTCTATTTAGTATATGTTCAATATAATTTATTCTTTTTTCTTTTGAAATATAAGTATATATTTTAATTATATTTTAAATTTTATAATTTATAATTTTATTAATTTTAATTAAACTATTTAATTATTTTAATCTTAGTCTATTATTATTTTATTATATAATAATAATTTTTTATCAATATATTTTTTAATTATTTATTAATTATATTTTATCTAAATTCTCATATTTAAACGAAGGTAGACAATTTATGCCATGTTTCGGGTTATAAAATTCAAACAATAACAACCTTTAGTTCAAGAGAGCTGAAATCTTAAACAATGTGACATTTTGGGTGTGTTAATGTGAACTGGCATTGACTTTCAACTATATATTACTAAAAAAAACGATAAATTGAATTTTCAATCCCATTATTAGATTTTTTTTATTATTTGTCTTAAAATAGTTCCGTAAGTGAAATCATGTGGCACCTGCGGGGCATGATGACAGACACATATCGGTCAAATCAGCATCATGTGTCTGACACGTGTCCGCACATGAATTATTTTAATTTTTATATTTTGTAATTTTATATATATATATTTAATTTTATTATTTTATTATTAAAAAAATAAAATTAGAAAAAAAATATCCACATGGTGGCCTCGTATATATGACGTTGATCTGGCCTACACGTGTCCGCCAGCCAGCTGTAAATACCGCATAGCCATTGAGAACTAAATTGAGAAAATTTTTTACTTATAAGACTATTTTAAACCAACTTCCAATTACTGAGACTAAAAAATAGTTTAACCAACTAAAAAGATAAAATCAAATATCACTTATAATATATATTCTATGAATTATATATATTTATATATTGTATTGCCTATTTATCCCGCTTTGCTCGACAATAACTATATAATGTCAGGACAATAATTAATAAATTTATTCAATGACGTATAAAAACAAATTAACAATTATTTCCAGCACGTAGTTTGAATTAAATCAACATATATATATATATATATTCTCTGCTAACATACTTATGGACGCCATCGTGTCATGTATTGTCGGTTCATATATTATATTTTTATTATATTAACATGCACTATGTACTATCAATTTATACCTTCATGTGTTGCCGATTTATACTTCATGTGCTAATGAGTTCTAATCAGTATACTTGTATCTACGACTTTCTAAAAGCGAAAAACAATTGGGCGGATATAGTAAATCCATTGATAGAAAACATTTATTCATGTGGGAATAGGAAACCATGTAATCTTTTATCATCCTTCGACAAGCGAATCTTAAAATTATACGCGCGCGCCCGGCGCACAAGTTAGTGAAAGAACTTTCAAGGAAATGAAAGGACAATGCAAAGGATGATTATACAGAACAATGAAAAATAGTAAAGCCAGATGAAAATAAAAAATAAAAAATCAACTGTTTGTTCATATTCATTAAATCCAAACTACTACTTTACTTCCACAGGGTTTATCTTCACCATAATCAATCAATCAATCAATCCTTGCAATACCCTGAAGCTAAATTTGATGTTTTCTGATTCAAGAAACCTCAGAAAAGAATCCCTTTTTCTAGCTGTCTTGAAAGTAAGCAATACAAACATCTGCAATCACATTATGAACTAGTGTCTGTCAATAAGCTGTTTAATTCAATCCATTCACCCTAAAGATCATTCATATGAAAAATAAGAAATCATATGATTAGACTCTAGGGAGATTTTAGCGATAGGCTCTATAGGAACTGGTCGATTCGATTTGGTTAAATATGTAGCGACAAACTCCTATGTTCCTATTTATTACGGTAGTTCTGAACAAGTTCTTAGATAACAAGCCTAAATAATATCACTTTTCTAGATCATAGATGTTAAATGCTATAGTGATAGAGAATGTCTAGTTTCCCTAAAGTATCGTGTTTGTATTTTAAGTATTTCCGTGTATTATAGGTTTTTCTGGATATGCATAGGGGTGTGCATTTGGTCGGTTCGGAACTTTCAATTTCGATCAGTTTTCGGTTTATAAAAATTGAAACCGAAACCGAACCGAAGTTTTCAAAATAAAATAAATTGAACCGAACTAGTTCGGCTTGGTTCGGTTTAAAACTGAAGAAACCGAACTTTTATTTATTTATATATATTTTACATATACAATCAAATACAAATACTCTTAATTATAATACATATTATTATTATTTTTAAAAGTTCGATTTTTTCGGTTAACCAAATTACAAATTGAAAACCATGATTGAACCGAAACTAATCAACCGAACAGTTGAAACTGAAAAAATTTCGATTTTTTCAGTTTGAACCAACCAATACTCACCCGTAGATATGCATAATTAATATCAACTACACATTGAAATCAACTAAAAAACATTTATTATTGTAGGCAAAAACATAAGTGTTAAGGAAGTTTACCTGTATTGTATAGTTGCCTTGATGCTTTACTTTGTTTCAGATATCATCGTCATATTTCTCTTCGGTTTTGTCCGTAAATTTGGTCTTCGAGCTGCTCGTGGGCTTGTCGATGTCTTGTTCGATGCGATTGACGAATGGGTGAGGAGGAGAGCGTTCGCTTTCTTCCCGGTGTTTCAAACTTTCCTCGATTTCATCCAATTGCAGATTCCGCAAAATATGAGGAACATTCATAGCGTCATTCTCGTTAAATGTAGTTCCCCTTTCGACACCTTGTTCTATATCGTCATTGACATTTACATTCGATGTGTGATTCACGGGCTCCATATTGGCAGCCCCATCTTCCCTTGCTATTGCTCGGAAGTCATTCATCGATGGCGGGATACTAGAGCTAAAGACTTCTTTGAAGTTCATGATCACCCCTTTGTTATATGGATTCTGCTTTCGATTGTATCGATACCTGAAGTTCTCGTACGTAGTCTGCATGTGATTGAAGTTGCATGTGATTGAAGCCTACAACTAAGTATGATATAGACTGTATAAATTTGACTAATATCAAACCTAATATAGATAATCGGAAACTAATCTACGATAAATTGAAAATGACAGTCGCCAAAATTCTCGACTTAGTCAGAGTCAGTGCTTTCTGCTGAGTTAGAGTTGGAAACAAAAGTCGCTCACAATAAAATTAGAGTTAAAAATATGACTCGCTCACAATAAAATTAGAGTTAAAAATATGACTCGCTCACAAAAGAGTTAGAATAGGAAACGAGACTCGTTTACAATAAAATTGGAGTAAGATACATGACTCGCTCTCAAAGAGTTAAAGTCGGAACAAGGCTTACTTATAATGAAATAAAGGTAAAAAAATGTGAGTTTTATGAACGAACTTTATTGAGACTTAAAAAAAAAAAGATTTGGCGAAAAATAAATTTGGAAAACGGGAACCGCAAACATTTCAAAATCGGAAGACCGGGGTTGAGTATCTTGGAAAAATGTAGCTACGATACTATGTTATATTTTGCAAAATTTCAAAATTGTATATTACTAATAATAATATTAGGACCTATCGTGATAAAAAAAAATATAATCTAAACCATATATTAAATATCTAAATATTTCTATGCCGATGCTCACTTAAGCGCATATACACACACAAACATTGACTATGAAGATGTTGAAGAAACATAACAAGCAATGAAGCCCGAATGATCACCTGGTTTGTGCTGATCAAGTAGAAGTGGAAAATCGTTAGTCCCCCGACGAACCAAAACGCGATGAAGCAGTACACGATAAGAACATCCGACAAATAATCGTGCGATATGGCTTCTAACAAACTGCCTTGCTGGTTGATTATATAGTACCAAGAGATACAAAAAATGTATACGCATAGGATCGTTGATGTTGAAATGAACATGTAGAAATATCTGTAATTGCGCTGCATAAACCAAAATGATTCTGTTAGCTTCAACTAAAAAGAAAGAACAAGTCGAAATGATCAACATTCCAAAAGAATCGAAAGATACGTGTTTTGATGAGATTCATAAAGACATGTATAATAAGCATACGAGAATACTCACTATACCAATGCATTGGCCAACCCACGGGCAATGATGATCAAATTTCTGAACACAGTTGTTGCAGATGGAGCAATGAGATGTTCGAGGAGGCCGATAAAGCAAACATGTGTCGCAAAACTTCACTTTGACAGTGTGTCCATTCACAAGAACATCCTTGGTCCGAGGAAGTTTCATATGAGGGGTTCGACCATTAGTCCACTCTACTGAAGGCGTGTTTAGTTCGAGTGTTTCATCACATTCCGGAGGCTTTTCATTTCTTGGGACAATTCCAGGATCTCTACTGGATGTAAAAAAGAGAAACAATATATCCTGCACAAGAAAAAGCCGATTTCCAGATAGATGTCAACAAGAAATCTTCGATGAAAGTAAGCCATTACAGAGTTCTTCACTCACTTATAGTTCATTTTCATCGCTATATCAGTAAGGATTCTCAATAAACAAACAGCCAAGAACACATATGAGCAAAATTACCAATAAACACACAACAAAATGCTGATCGAAGATCGTTTGCTTACCAATATGGTTAGCAGTTAAAAGCAAACAGCCTAGAACACATATGAGCAAAATATACAAATAAACATACAACAAAATGTCAATTGAAGATCGTTTTCTTACCAATGTTGTTAGCAGTTAAAAGCAAACAACTAAGAACACGTATGAGAAAAACAACTAAGAACACAGCAAAATGCTGATCGAAGATCGTTTGCTTACCAATACGGTTAGCAGTTAAAAGCAAACAGCCTAGAACACATATCAGCAAAATTATAACATACAACAAAATGTCGATTGAAAATTGTTTGATCACCAATATGGTTAGCAGTTAAAATCAAACGGACAAGAACACATATGAGCAAAATTACTAATCAACATACAACAAAATGTCAATTGAAGATCGTTTGCCTACCAAAATGGCTAGCAGTTGAAATCAAACAGCCAAGAACACATATGAGCAAAATTACCAATAAACATACAACAAAATGTCGATTGAAATTTTTTGATTACCAATATGGTTAGCAGTTAAATTCAAACAGCCAAGAACATATATGAGCACTAATAAACATACAAAAAAACTCAATTGAAGATCGTTTGCTTACCAAAATGGCTAGCAGTTAAGCAACAGCCAAGAACACATATGAGCAAAATTACTAATAAACATACAGCAAAATGTCGACTGAAGTTCGTTTGCTTACCAATATGGTTAGCATTATGGCGAAAACGAGTAAGGCATACCAATGACCAACATTTGTTGCAGTTTTGATGATAATGAAAACCTTGACACAAAATGCAATTACTGGACCAACAATCAGGAAAGTCGACAACAACAAAGATGCTGCGTCCGGACCGAATATCAATCTTCCTCCAAATAAGAATTTCTGTTACAACATTCAAAAACATCAGAACCTGTTGATACAGTGCTTCATTTCAAGTTCTAAATCAAATGAAAATGGCGATACAAAGTTACATACCTATGCACACACAAGTAATTACCAAAACTGCAATCACGAACTTATAATGAATCTACCTACAACTCCTACACAGTTTCACCCCCAAATCGATTGTATTTTGAATTTGAACTTGAATCTACCAAAACCTAAAAACAACACTCAACAAAAATAAATCCAGCAATTACAATTCAAAATTACCGAAGATAATATTCTCCTCAATTCAAAATCCCCAGCCACAACAAACTATCGATCAAAACACAACCGTAAAAGAACAAAAAACTGAAAAAAAAAACAATAAAATAATAACAAAATCAATTCCTTACATTACTTCCTTTCCAAACTTGATAAATCCTCTTAGGTTGGGGTTTCTCCAGGTCCATATAGAGGCGGAAATTGGAAGTGGAACAAGAACCGGGAGCCGAAAATCCCAAAATCAAATCCCAATGCGCATATCATCCATCAAAATTGATTCCATATCCTAGCCTCGAGATTTAATTGAAATTGTGTCGTTGATAATTGCATGCCCAAACATGCAATTCATTTCAGCGTTTTCCCGAATCGTTTGAGCCCGAAGAAATTGGGAGGATCGGGATTACCGTATAGGAATTTGGTTGATGAAGCGATTCAGCATACAGCACAGCACAGCTGCCGAAACCAATGGGACGGCACTCTCGACGGAATTTCTTAAGAACAGATTAGCAAATTCATTTCCCCTGAAACTTGTCCCGCCTTTGTTTCTTTCTGGTTTTTGTTTCTATTTGTTATGTTCTTGTCGTTTTCTGCATTCATCCTTGTTTATTATTAATTAATTAATTGTTAATTGCGTATTTATTTATACATTGGAAATGAATTTAAGGGTGTGTTTGTTCTGAGATTGGATTTCCACTATTCATCCTATTTTTTTTTTTCAAAAATATTAAATCAAACATCTATTCATTGCTTTCTTCCATTAATTTTGTTTCAATTAATTTTCGGCAACTAGCTTCCCATCCTTACTTTTTACATTTGTCCGATTTAATTCTATTCGATTTTAATCAAATTCGATTAGTTCCAAATTTACTCAAACCGATCAGCTTTGTTTGGATCCGTTTGCACATTAAGGGTGTGTTTCTTTGGGAGTTTGGATTTTGGATTGAGATTTGAATAGTAAAAATTTTGAATTTGAATAGTTGTATGATGTGATATAAATAGGTGTTGAAGCTATGTTTTAAAGGTAAAATTTGATTTTTAGTATAATATAAAAAATAAAAAATAGGTGTTTGATTTGATATTTTAGGGGAAATGGAATGAATAGTAAAGTTTGGGGAAAATCCCCAAACAAACACACCCTAATTTATCGTGAGATCGAGCTCAAATACTTTCTTGAGTAAGCCAAAAAACTCGATTCACGTCGATTTCGATAGACCTAAATTTATTCAGCCATTATACCAAAAGTTTCATCAATAACAATATTATTGTGTTATTAATACCGTACTATATATTTAATTAATACATTAACCACAACCCAATATAATATTAAATTTTTTGTCATCTCTTTGTCAAGTTTCACAGCCTACACCCCACAAAACAATTCAAAATTATTTGTTTGGTTGTGATTTCATTTTAATTTAAAATTATTAGCATTTACTTTGCATTATTTTTAATAAAAATATGATATTTATTTTCATAAAACATCACATTAAAATAGTATTATTATTATTATTTTTGCAAATTGATTTTTTCTTTTCTTTTTGGCATGTCTTTTAAATTTAGCCAATTATTAATTTTAGAAAAACTAAATTTCAACATTTAACTATTACTTTCTATTCAATACTCATTTACGGTCACTATATTTATTACATTAACTATCTTCATTACCGTTAATTACTAACTAAATTTACAAAGATACTAAGTTACTTTTTTTTATTATTTTTTTTTTACTTTGGTCAAAATTCAATAAAATCTTTACTTTTTTGATCACCGAATCCAACATGAATTATTTTTTACACAAGACGGAGAATGTATTTTTAAACAAAAATTCAAATCAATGTCTCATTTCGAATCATATTCAAACAATAACAAAACAAATCTTAAAACTTTTCAAAAAAGGCTGCATTTCCTAAGCACATATTACCTCTCTTTCCCACCATTTTCACATTACCAGCTTCAAACAAACAATTTTTTTTTTTTTTTTTAAAGGAAAAAACCCTAACCCCAAAAGGCTTTCTATATTCAGCAATTAAATATCACATGGCCATAATTGGGAAAGAATTTTGTTCCTGCTTCTGCTTAATTCTCCTGCTGCTGTTAATGGTTTTAGTGCTGCAGAAGAATCCATCTTGTTTTGCTGATGAAGAAGAAGATCGACATTCTGATAAAAGGGCTGCTGCTGCTGCTGCTAGAAGATCATCATATGATCATGTCAGAACCATCCACAGATCAGAAATTTCAAGAAACATCAACAATGGAAACTATGACGATGATAATGATGATGAAGTTTATGTTCTTGGGGATGAAAAGAGAAGAGTATACACAGGTCCCAATCCTCTACACAACAGATAACTACTAATTTCAATAAATCTTTCAAGATTTTTAATTTGAATGGTAACTTGTGTGTAATAATTATTATGTTTAATTTGTTTATTTTTTTAAGGGTTTGTTCACTTCGAATCTTTTATAAATTCTTTGTGTCAAGGGTTCTTGATGCAAGTTAGGATCGGAAATTGTCACGGGAATATTACAATTTTCAAGATTATACTATCAATTTAGAAAAAATTAACTATGGCAAATTTTGTCATTTTTGTGGAATTTATATTTTATTTGGGCTAATATTTCAGATTGGACAAAATTCGTACGGTTCATTCGAAATAATATAAGGAGGCAAAGCCATTGCTTTACGATGATGCATCACATTTTTGGGTTATTTAAGATCCTTTAGGACTTCAATTTATTGTTTTTCTATTTTTTTACAACTATTTTTATTTAGAGTTATTTTGGATTTTAGAGTTAGTAGGGTTTGTTTCTTTCACTCCAAATTACAGGTTTTTACTATTTAGATTTCGTTTAAAAAAAAAAAAAAAAAAAAAATTCTCTTACAAAACATCTCATCATATATTATTTTAATACCATCCCTCCCTTTTTAATTTTTTTTCCCATTTTATAAGTAGTTTTGCTGAATGTTTTTGTTTTATTCGATCCTTGATAAGCACTACAAGAAAAAAATATTTTTATAACAAATTTTTTTCGTCCCTCGATCTACTTTTTTCTTTTTTGTTACTAATGACATTAAAAAAAGAATTAGGGATGAAATTACCTTAACTATATGAACTTTAGAAATAAAATTTCGTTACAAATATTATTATTATCGTTAATTTTTTTGTAATGAAGTAGTTTTGTATATTTTCAAGTCATATATAAAATTAAGACTTTTGGGAGAATAATTCATTGTTAAAATTTAGCCCAAATGATAATCCCATTTGGATTAATGTTTGTTTGCATCTTAGACAAACTTTCATCCAAAACATTAAAACTCTATTTTTTTCATCCAAAACATCGTATCCAAAATTTGTTGTCCAATCTTTAATTTTTCTGCAAAAACATCCCAAAAATACAAATAATATATATACTAATAGAATATATTTTTTTATTTTTTTATTTTTATTTTTTATTATAGTACTGATAATTTTTTTTTTTTTTTTTTAAATCAATTAATGTAGGCATTATTAATGGGGTTGTTGGTGTAAATGTAATGAGGCAAATTAATGAAGAAGGCATGCAGGCAGGCCAGCTGTGGTTTTAAATATACATATGGGTTTGTTTTGTCCAATATTTTTTTGTGGTACTATTCTCTATAAATTTTACAAGAAATACAATATATATATAATATTTTATTCATTAAAAAAATTAATAATTAAATATAAAATATTATTTTTTATATTATCGATACAAATTTTTATACTTAATATAAAAAATTCATTCATAAAAAAAAGTACAAAATGAACAAACCAAATACTACCTTCGTCCACCGTCAATCTATTCATTTGTATTTGACGTCATTGTTTTTAACATTAAAAATATCTTTATATTTGTATAATTTTTTGTATAAATGTCATTACATTAGTATTATAAGACACCAATAGAAATATTTTTGTCGGTTTTCTTTGATTTGTACTATGTTTTGATATAATAATTAATATTCAAATATTAACATTAAAAAAGTAAACAGATAGATTGGTGGTGGACAATCGTAATATTATTTCCTCTGAAAGAAATAAAGGAGGAATGTCCCTTGAGAAAGTCATCTTCACTCACTCTTCCATTTGGGCAATTAATTTCTTTTCAAATATCAAGTAAATAAGATTCATCACCCTCACCACACACTGGACCAGCAATAATGCTGTGTTCTTTTTCGATTTATTTTATTTTGAACTATATATATATATATATTGTATTTTGGTTTTGATTTTTAGTTTATACAATAGTTGGACATAATATTTTATAAGAAGAAATTATTTATTTTTTAAGGATTTTTGAGGATTATACTGTATTTGTTTATTGTTTTAGTTTGAATATTTTGTAGGTTGTGTGATATTTTATGAGATAAAATATTATATTTTTATAGAGTTGTAAGGATTGTATACTAAATAATTAAAAAAAATTAAAACATAACAAAGATTAGGGTTTGTTTGCCTACATATTTTTTTTTCAATACAATTTTCAATATATATATATATTTTATCTTTTCACAAAAGTCAACATTTAATATAAAATATTATTTTTAATATTACCGATGCAATTTCTTATACCTCATATAAAAAATCAAAATAAAAAATACTAAAGAAACAAACCTAGGTTTTTTTTTTTTTTTTTTTTTTTTTTTTTTTTTTTTGAATTATAGAATTTGGTTTCAATAGTAGTTAGATGTAATATATATAATTATTTCAATGTTATCATACTAGAAGATATATATATATATATATCTCTCTAAATTTATATCTAATTCTTTCAACATATATAATACTTTCACTTTGCTAAAATTTTCATCAACGAGTGATTGTGTGGATTTGGAAAATTTGTAATGTACAATCAAAAGTACCTATATTTTGATTCTTTACCTTAAAAACAATCGTGTGTGTTTTTTTGTCCTCATGTCCTCTCTGTCCGTAACAAAATATCCATTTTTCTATTTTAGTTTATCCCATAACAAAATATTCATTTCATTTTTTAATAACTGTACTATCTACCTAACATTGCAAACATTTTTACAACTTACAATATAGTATTATACAAATACCATTACCTTTATATCACACAGTACTAATAAGGTTATTTTAGTCATCTCTACTTTATTCCTACTACATTCCAATATAATACTAATATTTCTAAAACTCCGTGTAAAAAACAAATAGATACTTAGTTATGGGACGGAGGGAGTACATTACTTTGTTCCGATGGAATGTACATTTGTACTTTTTTGTACTCCCTCCGTCCTATATAAGATGGACATGTTACTGTAGATACGAGAATTTGAGTAAAGTATAATTAGTAAGTATTTAAAAAATATATTAGTAAAAATAATTATTATTTAGTAAAAATTAATATAGATTAAGATTAATATAACTAAATAGTTTAATTAAGATTAAAAAAAATTTCAAATTTTAATATTTAAAATATAATTAAAGTGTATAATCAATTTTCCAAAAAAGAAAGGACAAATTATATAGGACGAATGAAAATAGAAAATAG